GTTTTCTGTGTTCCTCTATCATATCATCAAAAATGCTCCCAAAGCAATGTTAAGCATGTTGGTGTTCCGTAAAGATGGAAAAAGAAATATTGGAGAAGATATAGTGACGCTACTGAACAAAACCGACAACAGGTCAATTAAACGCTTGAATCTTGTGTCTTCATAATCAAACCTTTTACCGAATAAAAGCGAAAATATAACATTAGCTACGGATGCATTCAATACACTTTTAATGTCAAAAACCTCGTTTTCATTTTCTTCCAATTTCTCCATCAGACAATCTACTTCTTCCATGATCTGGCTTTCCAAACAACGCCTCCCAAATCCAAACTTACGTAATGCCGTCAGTGCAAAAGATCTCGTTTCTTTCCAGATCGAACCTGATGCCCAAAACACACCTAAACAGGAAATAAGAAAATATAAATTTTGATGAAACAGAATTTTGATTTTATGTACGTGATATTCTCTATACTCCTGCTTTAACTAAATAATATGTTCTAGCTAAATAAGCGGCTTTACCAATAGAATTTGATGATTAATCAAATGAATTTTATGTACTTGAATGTCTTTATATGATATTATCAGCATTGCATCATTGCTAAATGATTTTTTTTTATTATAAAATAGGAAAGGTTTTTTAATCATAATAACCATAGCGGCTCTCAATACTCCGAAAGAAACATATGGTAAAAACGAACAGTATTCAAGATCAAAAGTCCATAAAACAATATAAACAGGAACAGAGTAAATACGGACCTCCAAAATATTAGAGGTAGGATCAGGTGCCATGGAGGAGTGAGCATCCCCTGCCGACCGATCACAACCGTCGTGTGTTCCTTGTCATGATCGGGAAAAAACGGGAAAATCCGTCGTCAATTCAGTGTATAAATAATAGACTAACAATTAGTATGAAAAACGTCAATCAGCATTTGACTCAATGATAAATTGTATTTGCTTACAAGGTCATGAAATGACTTTAAACGGACTGCTGCTATTCTTGTTTCATCGAAGTGATTGTCAATAATTTACCTCGTTTTAGAAATTGTTCATACATAGAGCATGCTCTTGCATATCGAATCAACTGAGAGATATAAACTCCGTATATCGATATCGATAGAAAAGTTAAAGTCATGAAGGAATCACTCTAATTCTAAGTCAGTTTACGCTTTATTAAGCGGACTTAAAAAGCCTTAAAAAGCGTAAACTGACCCAAACCAGATTATACTCTATAATCTGGCCAAGAATTAGAGTCATTTCTTATAGCGTGCGCAGCGAGTGTCGCGAAGCGAGCCCAATATACTAAAGTGTAAGAACAGAGCGAATTCGGAATGAAATCTGTTCATACATCAGCCAAATTTTTCTTTTAAATTTTTCCAGAATTCCTTTGCTACCCAATTCCCTTTGCGCGATTAAATAAATAAATAAATAAATAATACAGTAAAGCATAATCAGTTTGTAGAAATCTTCAAAAGAAACAAAAAATAACTCTGCAGTGTCTTTCGAAAAAAATTGCACTAGGTCTATAGTTTCAACTAGACGCTCGGCTATTTCCGTAAACCAAGACAATTTCTCGTGTGACGTTACAGTCCAGATGTCTGGTGCGAATTGATGTTTGAAGTGGAAGAGCAACGTTTCAGTTGTATTTTTGAAGGTACAATTGCGCTCTCCGCAACAGTCACACCGTAAAAAATATTAATTTAATTCTAAAATAATTAAACAACCATGGATGTAAAATTCCGTTGCTTTTATAAGTTCAAATTTGCCGCTCAATAATACAACTGTAGAAACGGAAGTGATTAGAAGCGAGGGGAGGTATTAACTGATACATAGACCTATCAGCCATGATGTTTGTTTACATGAGGTAAGATGGAGCTAATCTTTCAAGTTAAGGGTACATTTATTAAATCTGGAATTTTTTTATGAATCCAGAGGACTGGAAATGAGGGAATTGCATGGATACAGATGATTCAGCTGGTTGTCAAGGATGTGTGTAATTTGCAGTCCTTTTTGGGAATTAACAAATGAGAGGCTAGAATACAAACAAAATTAAATAATTCATGTTTTTATAAAGCTTGGTTGTTAGATTACTAATAATGTCTTTTTCAAGTAAAATATCCAAGTTTGAAACAGATGTGTTAGACTCTGTGGTATATTGTATCTCAAGCTCACCAGGATATATCATATTAAAATTACCATTGTAAATTAACAATACGTCGTCGATATTTCTAAATGTCGAGTTGAAGAATACAGCAAGAGATTTCTTCTTTTCCCGCACAATATTTTGCAAAAATTCTGCTTCATATGAATACAAAAAAAATCTGCTGATAACGGAGCCCAATTGGTACCCATTGGGATTCCAAAAGATTGTTGGAAAACCTCATAGATATTGTCGATCAGAAACTCAAGCATCTTTTTTTATGTCAAATTCAGAGTAATTGTGTGTGAATAATGGACTAACAATCAGTATGAAAAACATCTGTCAGCATTTAACTTAATGATAGATAGTATTTGCTGACAAGGTCATTGTATCGTACGTAATCTTTTCATAGATTATTCAAACTGTTATCTAAACTAGTATGTTATTTTTTTTACCGTTTCCTTCAGCCACATCACCGGAAAGGGAACTTGGTCTCTCAGAGGTAACATCGCCATGTTTGACCAGTAATGCCCGGATGTTGTCGAATCCGTGTACAAATATGATAGGATTATCATAGATCATTATGGTATAGATGTCTCCATAAATCTTCCGCAGTCCCCTGTGAGCTTTCAGAGCCTCTGACGGTTTGAAGATTTCTATATTCCCTATTTTTGAGTAACATGTAGGACCAGGCGGAAGAACATTTGATTTTCCAGTTAGACCCCATATCAAACAGATCAAAACAACAACTATGGCCAACGCCACCCACATTGTGTAAAATGTATAAGATAATCTACTTTCCTGAAACTCCAAATGTATGGTTGCATGTCTGTGCTAAAACAAAAGATTAGGAGTTTCACCGTCGATGTCGCTAATGTTCCAATGTTTAACAAACTTATAAAGATTTTGCTCTAAAGATAGATATTATTTACCAGAGGTATTGGTAGCATTAAGTCAACTTAATGACTCCCCCGCCTCCCATATGACTAATATATTGACGGTACAAGCGTAAGGGCGAGCGCAGATACAGTACCTTTCAGATTTTATTTAGATCGGGCTTGTAAAACCGCACTTGTCATTTGCTACGTTTAGTCTCGGACGCCATATAGCGTTGTTTGAGTGTAGCATTACCAAACCGAAGTCTGAACTGTACCGATTTTTATCAAAAACGTTTAATCTACAATTTATCTGCTATATATATCCATTAAATCAAGGTGATTTTATTTTTTGCGGAAAATATATTTACATCAATGTGCTATGTGTCCTATCAAAATAGGAGGTGCTTAATGGCACTTTGTAACAAATAGTCTGTAAATGTCTCAGTTAATTTCATTCAGTGGTATAAGAGGAGTAATGCAAACTTTTAGAGGGCATATAATGGTTTTGATTGATTATATGTTGTTTAACGTCCTTCTCGAGAATTTTACATTCACATGGAGACGTCACCGTATACCGGTGAAGGGATTCAAATTTTCATCTTTACTCGGCTTTAAGGGTCATTGTGCAGTGAGGGTTCTTTATCGTGCCAATGCCTACTGCGACACGGGACCTACATTTTTAAGATCATATCCGAAGGACCCTTGACCTTCACTTCAATGCCGAGCGTTTAGCGAAGGAATTTTCAATACCTATGTTTACGTCTTAGGTTTGACGCGGCGCCGCGAACGCGAATCGAACCCGGGCCTCCCGATCACGAAGCAAACTATCCACCACAGGCTACCGTTACCCGTTATAATTGTTTTGAAAAGCAGTTTGGTATAAGACAGTCCATATAAAGAATAAGAGTTGTAATAAATGAGAAAAAATCTGTTTTACAAAAATAATGTAATGAAGACAGGAGAAATTCCGTTGAATTTTATTTTACAAAGAATTATGACGCTAAGAAATCTCCATAAATATTGCTACAATCACAGTCGACGACATAAAATTTGAAACTTGTTATTATCTCCATATGTTTCATTCATAAAGGAGTTTATTTATATCTTTTCCTTGCAATTTCTGACCTTGAAAATTCTAGCTTAGTTTTTTATTCTTAAACTTTGAAATATTTTTATATGCATTATTTTTCAAAATTTTTTTCCGCGGCACTTGGTGGCTTGACACCCCATTTCCTTGTTTTTTTAAATCTGGCGTCGATACACTTTACTTCCCTTTTTTTTAAAAAGAAGAAAAAAGCCGGAAATTGAGGATTGTTCCAGTCCAAGTGTCTGTTATCTATGTATGTATGTCATCTTCAGTCAAAAGCTCTAAACCGTACTTAGTCAAGTAAATTCAACAAACATTAACTAGAGATCTAGAATTATGTTTATATTTTTGTAATCATTTTTATAGAGATTTTACTCGGTCGTGCTTAAAAATTCCTTATGTTACTATTATGTAATAGTTCCTGATCAATAAACTCTTTAAGGGTTGGGAGAGCTGAAAGCTATATATGCCGTATTAGTGTTTTATTTTAAAAGTATTAAATATATGTGGTGTCTCATCAAGTTATATAAGTTATATACTTTCTGCAAATAAGACAATTCCACTCCATCACTTTTAAAAGTTACGAAATATTATTTGGTAAAAATTGTTTTCTCTCCGTGTCGGATAAAAAACCGCCTCTTATTGAAATATTCATGACCACGTTGTCTCGCATGTTTACAGCAAACAATGGTCCAAACTCGTGAATGAACCGAAAAGCATGATGGTCTACTACGTTTTTACTACAAACACGTGAGTTAGGGATTGTCAATATTGTGAGCACCTCAGAGTTGGTTGCTTTTTGTACCGAGGAATAATCACGTGCAATTGTCTTTTCAATGGACATTTTCGGTTGGGTGAACTTCTACAGCTGTCAGCGACTATGGATAAAGACTCTCCATTAACTTCCAAGATCTCCTGAAATTTGATATTTAAATGCCCTTTAACAATTCCTCCAAAACCCCATTTTTCATTGATAAAAAGAATTTTTAAAAAGTTGAATTACCTGTGAAAGTAGTGTTGAATTCATTTGATCTTTGTTTTTGTTCCAGAAGGAAAGCATCGATGAAATCGTTGATGTGGTCCCCGTCAAGATTTCTTCTGTGTTCATCTATCATTTCATTAACAAATGCTCTTAAAGCATGCCTATTTTCTAAAAGTGGGTCGATGTTGAAAATCCTGATGTTGCATAAAGATGGAAAAAGAAAAACCGGTGAAGATGTATTGATGCTGCTAAACGCCTTCGAAAGTAGATCAATTAAACGCTTGAATCTTGCATCATCATAGGCAAACCTTCTACCAAATAAAAGCGAACAAATAACGTTAGCTGTGGATGAATTAAGTACATTTTGAATATTAAAAGCCTCGTTTTCATAATTTTCCAATTTCTCCATCAAGCAGTCTACTTCTTCCATGATCTGGCTTTCCAAACAACGCCTCCCAAATCCAAACTTACGTAATGTCGTCAGTGCAAACGATCTCGTTTCCTTCCACATCGGACCTGATGACCAAATCACACCTAAAAAGGTCATCAGAAGTTGAGATCCAGGCAATGAGAATGTTGATAAAATTTTACATGAACTCTAAATGATCAGGTAGGACATGAAAACCTTCAATTGTTTTGCTCTAACTATTTGTTTTCATCAAATTAACTGAATTTATCCATAGGCTGTGAGGATCAGAAATGTAAATTTGAAGAAAAAAAAAACTTTTACAAAACTGATAATAACCCTGGGAATTTTTTTATATAATATTGTCAAAAACTACCGTGTTAAATTCACCCAAAATAAAAATAAATCGCCGCCGGTTTTAAACGCTTGAAGGTGAACTGTAAAGACACTCGATCTTCATACAGTAAAAAAAATTAAATGCACTTAAAAATTTTACCATTTCCTTCTACAAGATCAGTGACAAGAGACCTTGGTCGCTCAGAGAAAACATCCCCGTGTTTAACAAGTAGCTCTCGAATGTTGTCGAATCCGTGTACAAATATGATAGGTTTATGGAAGATCATTATGGTATAGATGTCTCCATAAATCTTCCTCAGTCTCCTGTGAGCTTTCACAGCCTCTGATGGTTTGAAGAGTCCGACATTGCCGATGATGGACCAAAAGGACTTCCGCCTGGTCCTACATGTTACCCGTCCAGTCAGGCTCCATATCAAAGATAGTAACACAGCAACAATAGTCAATGTCATCCACATACTGCCGAACGTTCTTTATATGGCCCTATATTCATTGAACCCTAAAGTATGGTTGCATTTCTGTGCTAAAACTAATTTTTATGCCCCTGTAAACGAAGTTTCAGGGGTATATAGTTTTTGTAACGTTGCCTATAACTTTCTCTCGGTATGGAGTCTATCTGTTTGTCCGTTTATCCGCAAAAACTGTCTGTCTGTTTGTCTGTGAATATTCCTTGTGACAATGCCTCTGTCTGTCTTGACCTTGGAGTTTTGTCCGCAAAAACATATAACCTTGCCTATAACTTTTGATTTAGATACCAGGACATTTACATTTGACAAATTTATTCTTTGTGGAAAGACTTTTCATGAGATATCAACAATCTTAACCTTTTGACCTTGGAGATTTCCGTACCTATGAAAAAACTCTAACCTTGACTATAACTTTTGAACAATAAGTACTAGGGTTTTAATACTTCATATATATAATTCTGATGAAAAGACCTACCATTGGATACCCGAAACCTTGACCCTTTGACCTTGGATTTTGACCTACTTTAAAGATACAACATTGACCATAATTTTTGAAGGGTTCGAACTAGGGCATTCATACTTCACAAATTTAATCCTTGTGACAAGACTTTTCATTTGCTATAAAGAACCTTGACCCTTTGACGTTGACCTTCGCAGTTTTACCTACTTTTTACAAACTTTAACCTTTATTATAACTTTTGAACATCAGGGACTAGAGCTTTCAAATTTCACATGTGTAATCCTTGTGACAAGAATCTTGACCATTTGACCTTGATCTTAGAGTTTGACCTACTTTTTACAAACTTTAACCTTGGCCATAACCTTTGAACGGTAAGGGCCAGCGCTTCAAACCTCCTATACGTAATCTTTGAGACAGACCATTCTTTGGAACCCAACAAACTTGACCCTTTGACCTTGACCCGGAGTTTGTCCTATATTATAAATGTTAACCTTGGTCATAACCCTGGAACAGGTTTAGCTAGCGTTTTACATTTCTCATTTCTTGTGAAAAGGCCTAACTTTGGTACCAACATATTTGATCTGCATTTGAGAAAGCTTAACCTTCGCTATGCTGCCATACGGGGGCATCAGTGTTCACAAACATATTTTCTTTCTATCTCCTTTTATAATTTATCTTTTTGGTTCGCCTATAGAGCATAGCGAGTCTTGGGGATCATTTTGTTATGTTATGTTCAAACCATATATCAGGTTTTTTTCCCGCGTGTATCTAATTTCCGCTTTGTTCGCAAAGAGTTCTGAATCGCGAAAAATAAATCAGCGTATATTTAAAACAAGTTACCTTCTTGAAGTAGAGTTATTTCTCCATGCCGTAACTCTTTCCGCTCAAAAGTTATGGCTAATATTAAAGTTTTTAAAAATAAGGTCAAACTCCAAGGTCAAGATCAAAAGGTCAAACTTCTTGAAATCTAATGAAAGGTCTTTTCACAAGGATTAAATATTTGAAATATGAAAGCCCTAGCCAAAGCCCTTCAAAACTTTTGGCGAAGGTTAAAGTTTAAAGTAGGTCAAACTCCAAGATCAAGGTCAAATGATCAGAGTTCTTGATATCCAATAAAAGTTCTCGTCACATGAATTAAATATATACAATAAATATATTGACGCAAGCGTCAAAAATCGGCCGCAAACCAATTAATTAATTCTTTCATAAAACAATTAGAAACTGAATTCTTATATTTATTTGTTAATTGATATGTATCCCTGTGACATTTAAAAGTACTTGGACACAGATTTGAAGTTATTGTTTTCTCTATTATAATAATATTACGACTTATATATTTTAATAGCATTTCACATAAAAATTAATTAAAAATCTTATTTTGTTCAAAAGATTTGAAATTTCAAATTTTTCGTTTGAAACATATTTGCACTGTACAAATTTTAATTTTATTCTTAATCCTCAGGAAAAGTGGTCACATTTTGATAAATGAAAAATATTAATTCTATAATCCAGAAAATTCAGGTCTTGTCAAAACAAACACACAATATATTCAGTAGTTGTGAAATGTGACGAGTCAACGCACCCTGTGAATCTAAATATAAACAATAACAAAGTCGAGCCCTTTTACAAAAACTGTGTACATAACACGAGTGTGCTCGATTTGCTAAACTGCCCGCATCTCTTTTCGGAATGACGATACTTGTGAAGGTGTATTGCTTTCTAACATTTCTACTCTGAATAAAATTATTTTTCTTGATAAAAGTTTTAAAATTTCTCAATAAAACACATCAAAATTGCCACTTTTCCTAGTTAAGAATAAAGTTAAAATTTGTGAAAGTGCAATGATGTGTTTAAATCTTAAAAAATTAAAAGTTTTAATAACTTTTAAATGAAATAAGATTTTTAATTAATTTTTGTTTGAAATGCTATTAAAATATATAATTCGTGATATTATACAGAAAAAATGAGAAAATATTAACTTCAAATCTGTGTCCAAGTACCTTTAACATTGGAATGCGACATTCCAGCATTTTCTTCAGTACATAATACATGTAATAACTTGGCAATTTACATTCCTTTTACAACTTAAACAATTGTTACTATAATCACTGTTCAAAATTATCTGAAAATAGATTAACTTTAAATTTAATAACAACTTTGGGCTCTGCTTGCTCAGAAAAAAAAACAACCCCAAACTCCCTCTAGATCCGCCATACATTTCTTCTCTATCTTGTTTTGGTGTGATATGTGGCGGGTATCATTGGCATATTGTAAAACGTGCTTTATCCTTTGTTAAAAAAATCTCTGATTTCACTGATAATAAATCAAGATTAAGTCATATTTTTGAAAATTATATTGTATGTAGCGTTTCCGAGTAAATCCTTTTTCACAATCATATTTTTGGTAGCTCCTGATAATATTTCCTCTTTGTAATAAAACACAAAATAGTAGTAAAACGTTTATTAAATCCAAATAAAAGTAAAATATAATCCAATCAATGTTATGGTTAAATCCAAAGAATTGAATAAAGGCACTTACGTAATTATTCCAAAATAACTCAAGTTAAATTCCCATTATCAAAATCCTCTTCCAAATTACTCCCAATAAAATCTCTAATAAAATCTTAATCATCCTAAAAATACCCTGCTTATATAGTTTATGACTCCTCTCATTGCTCCTCTTAATCACCCTGAACTAAACTAAGGTCAAGCTATCAGGTCTAAATGCTATAAATCACTACTATTGTATAAAGCCTCCTCTTAGCCTAATTAACAGCTCCCCATGACCTGTTCGCAGTCAATATATCATTCATAAACCTAGCATACGGAGAAAGTATATATAAAAACATCTAATCTACTGATTAAGAAAAGTAAATGTAAGAAAATAATAAAGATTAAAAAAAAATAATTATGCTACATGTATATTTATATTTACACGTCATTTTAAATTATAAATACAAAAAATCCTGTTGAGGTAGAGAAAGTAAAGAATGGGTGGACTTAACTAGCCAGAAAAAATGCTGCAAATTCAAGTTCCATAAAATGTTAATTTTTTTTCCATCATATAAACCCCCGATATCCTAACTGTGTGTTTATGCTACGGATGTGAATCTAAAATGCTCTTTCCGAGGTAAACAAAATAAATATCGAAGGCATGGTGCCTGAAGATTTGTTGAATATCAATAGGTAATCAGGGTCATGCATTTTTCATCGTCTGAATACATAGTCAGCGCATGTTTGTCGGCTGGTCTTACGAAAACTGTAGTTGTATATTAAACAAAATAATGTCATATGAAAAGGAGAAGAGCCGACAAATGTGCGCTCACACTTAATTTACCAAAAACATGTTCCAAACAAACTTCTCGCTCCCATTGTTACGACTTTGTTGGTACATGTATATAACGCGATCCTTGCTTTAGACTATGCCCAACATGTGTGCTTATTTCTCCGCACTTCAGTTACGTCGGAGTTTGTCAATCATGATTGGAGAAACATTTAACCCATTATTTATAAAAATTTTCATCTTATGATTATGTGCGTTTTTGCTTAAAAATTTGAATTTTTTTTAATATATATTAATATAGATATTTTTTATTCAAATTGTTCTTACTCCGCAGAAACGCACGGCAACTTAAAACTTTCATATCATATAACCGACTGCCTCCTGGCGGCCGGTAATGAAATATGAAAGCCCTAGCCCTTACCTTTCAAAAGTTATGGCAAGTTTAAAGCTTTTTCGTGTAAAGCTTTATCCAAGTAAGGAAATATCCAAGGTCAAGGTCAGAAGGGCAAAGTTGTTGGTATCCAATAAAAGGACTTGCCACACAAAATACATATGTGATGTATAAGTGTCCTAGCATCTACCGTTCAAAAGTTATGGCCAAAGTAAAAGTTAAAAAGTTTTGTGTAAAAGTGGGTGAAACTCCAAGACCAAGGTCAAAAGGTAAGATTTGATGTTACCCACAGACAGGTCTTGTCACAAGGAATTTATATTTGAAATATGAGAGTCATAGTTCTACTGAATCAAAAGTTATGGACAATGTTAAAGTTTTTTGACGGACGGACAGACGAATGTGATGTAATGCCCCATCGCTTTTGCGGAAGCGGGAGGCAATAAGCCCTATTGTTTGTTTACTAATTATAGTGGTCTCTTTCTTTGCGAGAGAATGAGCAGCTATTTAGTTTGGAACAGTAAATGACCTATGATTGTTTAAATCTTAAAAAAAATAATACCTGGTGATTTGAGAGTTTGTACGCAACACAGGTGTGTAATCAGCTGAGCGGGTCTTCTGAAATTCACAAGCTGATGGTCAATCGATCTATTTCTCACCCTTTGAAGTAACGCAAGCTTAATAACTTACAATTTACATTCCATTCCTTCATAGGCTTAAACAATTGTTAATATAATCACTGGGTCTTTGAAATAGTGAAAATTTGATAAGCGTAAAATTTACATATTGATTTAGGCTCTGATTCTGGAAAAAAAACATGACGCGGAAAAACCTGATATACGGTATTACGGTATATATTGCATGTATCATTGGTCATTTGCAAAATTATTTTGTTAAAAACATTCTGATTGCACATAAATACTCTGAAGTTGACATCGAAATGATACTTGAGTTTCTGATTGCCATTATCTACGTTGTTTTGGAGACCTAGTTTTGTTTTCATATGAAATAGAATTTGTGCAAAATCTTATGCGTGAAAAGAAGAAAACACTTGTTGTGGCCTTCAACTCGACATTTAGATAAATCGAGTGTCGTCAATTAAAAATGGTTATTTCCATTCTTATGCCAATACGATATATCCTTGTGAACCTGAGATAAAAGACACCACAGAGTCTGACACATCTGTTTCAAATTTGGATATTTTCCTTGAAAAAGACGTGAATGTATCTAACAATCAAGCTCTATGATAAACGTGATGACTTTAACTTTTCTATCATCAACTTCCCTTACTTATGCAACAATATACCTTCATCACCTGCATATGGAGTTTATATATCTCAGTTGATTCGACACGCAAGAGCAAGAGTTCCATGGTCAATACAATGACCTTGTCAGCAAATACAGTTTATCAATGAGTCAAATGCTGACTGCCGTTTTTCATACTTATTGCTTGTCCATTATTTATCCACTGAATTGACGACGGATTTTCCAGTATTTCCCGATCAGGACAATGAGTTACAGTGGATATAACCAGTCAGCAGGGGATGCTCAATCCTCCATGGCACCTCATCCCACCTCTGATCTTTTAGAGATCCGTGTTTGCTCTGCTCCTTTTTTGTATTGTTTTATGGACTTATGATCTTGAATACTGTTCGTTATCTCCATATGTTTCATTTGGAATTTTGAAAGCTTGTGTTTTGAAAGCATTTCTCAAAAACGTTTTTTCTCAAGACAAAACACGAAGGGAGATGATCAGGGGACCCAGCGAGATTGTCTTTTTAGTATGCAGAGAACAGTCTTAAAGTACAGAAACAATGGATACGAAAGTCACAGATTTTAAATTTGAATATTTTTAAAGATATAAATATAGATATCTGAAAAGTCGCTCTATTTCTTGATGATTATTTCAATCATTCTGTGAAATAGAAGTATCGGTGAGGCTAGCAGATAAGTCAACTTTATCGTTTAATGAGTCTCAAGTTAAATGGTTGAGGTGTGTGAGTTAATCCAAGCTTTCCCTCTAGAGAAGGCAAACACTCGGGATCCTCTGGTTTTATCTCAAACTTCTGTAGAAATCTGGTGAAAAACAAGAAAAGCTCCATTTTGGCGAGTGATTCACCTAGACACGTCCTGGGCCCTGAAAGAACATGAAGAATATTCATAGATTAGACTATTGATTTCTGAGTATAGAGTAAAATAGGATGTCTTGGTTTCTCTTGTCCATTCACTTCATAATAAAATTGTCTTGAGCATTGCTATTGATGAATTTTTTTTCAATGTTTTTCGGAAAAAATTTACAAAATTATTTAAGAAAAATTATTTTCTTACCTACGGAAAAGGTGATTAACTTGTCTTTCAAGTCTCCACGACATCTCCCGTTGTCATCTAAAAACCGCTCTGGTTTAAACTTTGAAGGTTCGGGAAATGTTTCTGGGTCCATCATTACGGAATCCAAAAGAAAGAGTACTGATGTTCCTTTAGAAAAAAGATACCCTTTGTACATGATATCTTCCTTGGCTGCATGTGGAGCTGTCATGGGTGCAACATTTCCAAGTCGCTGAGTTTCCAGAATGAATGCCTCTACCAATGGCAATAGATCCTTGTGTACCATCTTGGGTTGTCCCTGACCTATAATGTCATCGATTTCGTTTTTAAGTTTTTTCTGCCAATGTGGATAATGAATCAAGAACAGAAGCGCCCATCTCAATGTTGTAGAAGAAGTCTCAGTTCCTGCAGCAAAGAAGTCCCTTAAAATTTGGTTCAGATGTTTATCTGTAACAGTATAATATGGTGACATATAAAAAAATAATTCTGGCTTTATAATTAGTGATTTTTTATAGAAATTAACAATGCAAAGGCTAAGAATTGTCGATTGCCCTAAGTAGTTTTTATGAATATTAATGGATTACCTGTGAATGTAGCGCTGATTTCTTTTGTTTTTTGTTTTTGTTCTTGAAGAAAAGCATCGATGAAATCATTGATGTGGTCCTCGTCAAAATTTTCTCTGTGTTCCTCTATTTTTTCATTCAGAAATGCTTTCAAAGCATTAACATTATTCAGGTATATGTCAATGTTAAAGATGCCGGTGTGCCGCAAAGATGGAAAAAGAAATACTGGAGAAGATATCGTGACACTACTGAATGCTCTCGACAACAGATCAATTAAGTGCTTAAATCTTGTATCATCATACTCAAATCGTCTACCGAATAAAAGCGAACATATAACGTTAGCTACAGATGCATTTAGTACACTTTGAATGTCAAATGCCTCGTTTTCATTTTCTTCCAATTTCTCCATCAAACAATCTACTTCTTCCATGATCTGGCTTTCCAAACAACGCCTCCCAAATCCAAACTTACGTAATGTCGTCAGTGCAAAAGATCTCGTTTCTTTCCATAAAGGCCCTGATGCAAACAACACACCTATCAAGGAAATAAGAGAGTAAAAAGATGATTAAACACGGAAGATAATGTAGCACCTGATACATGTACACTGTGCAGTCTTGCTATAACTAAAATGATTTTAGATCAAATTAATCATTTTCATGAATGTACTGAATATTTAATTGTATCTGTTACCATCATCAACAGCCAGTGCAAAATATAATTCTTAGGACTAGTGTCAAAATAGTTTAAGTTTATTATCGTTCTGAGCGTAGCGGCTCCTAGTAGTACTATCTATAACTCGATCTTTTATAGACCCCTCAGATTGAAATCTAAAAACGAATGATTTTTTACTTTACCATTTCCTTCAGCCATATCACCGGATAGGGATCTTGGTCTCTCAGAGGTGGCATCGCCATGTTTGACCAGTAATGCCCGTATGTTGTCAAATCCGTGTACAAATATGATAGGTTTATGGAAAATCATTAAGGTATAGATGTCTCCATAAATCTTCCTCAGTCTCCTGTGAGCTTTCAATGCCTCTGATGGTTTGAAGAGTCCGACATTGCCGATGATGGGGTAACATGTAGGACCAGGCGGGAGTCCTTTTGGTCTTCCAGTCAGGCTCCATAACAAGGAAAGTAATACGACTACAATAGCTAACGCCTCCCACATAGTGCAAAATGTATATCGTTAACCTACTTTAATTGAACTCCTAATGTATGGTTGCATTGCTGTGCTAAAATTGAAGATTAGAAGTTTCAACGCCGAAGGCCGCTTATACTGCAATATAAATATTAAAAACTTATATGTATTTTCTCAAAGGATATAGATACTTAATCATGCTTGACAATGCTGCTTATTCTGTCCAATGCTTAAGTTGTGATGACCTTTCAGGTCTCATTTTATGCTTCTCATGATACATTCGATGCTGCATTTTATGTAAGGGTAAGCGCTCCATTCCTTAAAAGTAATAGAGCCGAGGTCCCGAAGGGACTGAGGCCCACTATTTTTTAGTAATGGGGTGCTACGAGTATATTAACCTGCGTAAAATCACCTTTTTAAATGCTTATATTGATTGTTTGTTAATTAATATATAATAAAGTATATTTAAAATTATGCACTGTAAATACACATACATAGTAGTACAGTAAAACACGGTTATAACCAAGTCCTGGGGACCTGTGAATTTAATTCGCTATATCCATAATTCATTATATCCGTATAACGAATTCGTATAACCATATATAGCGAATTCGCAATATACATGTTTTCCTTCAAGTGTTACTATCAAATATGTTGGGGAAGCAAATATTACAAAACATACCTTCGATAACTAAGGTTTTATTATGAAATATTTACATCCACTGAATATTTTCTTCTTTATTTCTTAAGAAAACCCATTGCGATCATCACTGCATGAACTACATTAGGCATATCACCTGTACAATTTTCTTGATCAGTGGCCTTTCCATCAATGAAATGTACAAAAACGTTCGCATCATTAACACAATAATTAATATTTTTAATCCTACTTAAAATAATAATTTAAACAGATATAAATATAAACAATAAAATGCTTTCTTTGTTTGTTATTATTGGATTGAACAGTCGCAGCTATTGCAGAAAAAATTTACATAACCCGCGTAATTTTAAGCGGGTTATGTATTTTTTCTGCAACAGCTGCTTCCGTTTATTCCAGTAATAACAAACAAAGAAAGCATTTTATTGTTTAATTGAATTTTATATACAAATGCTGAGAGAAAATAAAGTCCGTTCAATTATTAAAATTTTGAAATCTTTAAAAGTTCGTTATAAAAAATGTAAAATTCATTATATTTAACATCAACGGAACTCCAAATCAGTTCGCTATATCCGTAAATTCGTTATATCAAAGTTCATTATAAGTTATAATGAACTTTGATATAACGAATTTACGGATATAGCGAACTGATTTGGAGTTCCGTTGATGTTAAATATAATGAATTTTACATTTTTTATAACGAACTTTTAAAGATTTCAAAATTTTAATAATTGAACGGACTTATAACAGTAAAATTTTACAAAGATTTGTTAATAATTTTGCCGGGGACCCAGAAAAACTTCGTTATATCCGTGAATTCGCTATATCCGTGATCGTACTAAACGTGTTTTACTGTAGTATTTAATTTATATATATAGGGAGAAAGTAAGGCAAAGGTTTGTTCGTCATGTTAAAAGGGTTATTTTCAATCTACCATAACACAATGAAATGAAAGCTGCTTTTTCAATAAAAATGAAACTCGTAAATTTACTTACCTTGTCACTGGTCATTTGAAAAATTATTCTGTGAGAAAACATTCTGATTGTACACATAAGTACTTTTAAATTGACATATTAAATGCTTGAGTTTTTGATTGACAATATCTATGTCGTTTTTCGAGACCATGTCTTCCAACAATCCGTTGGAATTCCTATTCGATTGCATTATTCGAACGAAAGTCGACTATTGGGATGTTTATTTGAAGAAAAAAAATCATCGATGGCGTATTTATAAATCAAAAACAGTTTTCGTAAATTTGTTAAAAAAAAGTAACTTTCTAAAATAAAATGTTATATCAATAGAACTTTGCTAATACTACTCGTAAATCAACATAGCATAGGTGTGTAAAAAATCATATTCTGGACTGAATTCCTATCATAACCTCTTCACAATTTTAGAATGTATCAAACTCATACATGTTAACAATGGTGGCAAATAAAATCAAATTGTAGCACTCCGGAGTATGAGGAGAGACACATAGTACAATTAAAAATATAAATATTTACTTATTCGGGGAGTATTTTTTCCCTAATAAATGGACACAGTTTTCTTAAAAAGAATTGTTTTTTGAATTCATTTATCTTTGTTATTTGTAATAAAATAAGTGAGTAGTGCCTAATGGATTTGACTAACAGTTTTGTATAAGTAATGGTTATAAGCCGAAAACTGTCCATTATGTCAGATATTAGACGACCCGAGGCGCGTAAGCGCCGAGGAGAGTCTAATATCTGACATAATGGTCAGTTTGAGGCTTATAACTTACTTAAAACATTTCACCATTGTCGAACACTTCCATTGTTAACTTATTGGACAGTCACAGGTAAGGTCTCGTTCTGTTTGGATGACTACCTGGCACTGCTCATCAAGTTAGGCCAAAGAAAACCAGTTTTGGTTTTTCTTCTGTCTTTATCAATAGTAGGAATCATCAAAAGGTGTTTTATATCGATAAATATGAAAATTAACTTTGTTTAGTCTTATTTATCCGCATTGCGACATTTTTTATATGTACTACGCATGCGTAAAAGTCAGTTCTACTAAATTCTTTACAATTTATATATTTTACAACGCAATGACCACGGATGATGACGTACATTTTAATTTTGAAAAAAGACCTTCAGAATCGGGTGTTTTGACGATGCCATTTATTGATTACACCAAAATGCCTAAGTTAAGGTTTTTACTGTGAAATCCGGATATATATTCTTATGTTTCGGAATTTGCAAGAAACAGTTCCCGTTAAAAGGTAATTTTTGTAAAGCAATAGGATTTGAAGGATTTTACTCAAACAACTGTTTATTAAAGCATTTTCTATGAAATTGGGAGATTATTCCTGATGTATTTTTTAAAAAATGCAATTCTCTTTTGTGCGCAGGCTTCGAACTCGGAAGGATTTTACACCAGCCACTCCTTAAAACGGCAGATACTCGATTAAACGACGCAGGACTAGGTGGACAAATGGTCATAAATCACCGGACGAAATTACAGATTCCGTTGGAATTTCGTAAGCTAAATTTTGTGCTAAATGCGGAAAAATGGATATTTCAATAAACAAAAAGCCCAAGGTTGTGTGTAAGAAAACACATGCTTCTCATTCATCTTTTGTGTCCATTGGATTCATTCTATATATGTTCCGTGGATCAATCATTGTGAAATGAATCTATTATATCTGATTATATAGAAATGAACGGTGAATTTAGGAAATTTATAATCGGAGCCACGGATGCATTTACAATAATGAATCTGAGACATTCAATTCATTGGATTATTTGTGCCATTTTCAATAGGATTTTTTGTGAAATATTAACATTTAACGCTACTAATTTCCTACATTGTTCATATTAAATTGTTTGATTTGTCATTGCCTTTTACGTGGTGCTTACTTATTTGCCTCGCCCTTTGTTCTCATTTTAACGTTACCTGTACCTGTCCAATAAGTTGAATCTTATCGGACACCTACAGGTAACTTATTGGACGGGGTGCAGGACAATAACAAATTTATTGAACCAGGTTTGACAAAAGATGACGTCACAGAAATGTTTTAAGACATAGTTATGCTCGTAGATCAGATTGATATATCTTTAAAGATTTTGAGCAATGCTAAAATAACTGAAAATATGTTTCTGTTTAATGAAAATATAATGAAGATAAATGCAAATACGATGAATGTAATATTCAGAAGAATTGAGGGAGAATCGAGAGAGTATGAGACCTGCATAACTTCTGATATAATCACAGACGACAATCTGAAAAAGGATAATTCATAAAGATGAAATATGTGGATAACGAACAGTTTTCAATTTCATAAGTCCATTAAACAATACAAAATAGGAACAGAGGAAACACCGACATCCAAAACTTCAGAGGTGAGATTTGGTGCCATGAACAAGTGAGCATCCCCTGCCGACCGGTCGCATCCACTGTGAAGAAATAGAAATACCACCTAAACCCCTTTCCCTCCGCCCCGAAATCTGCAATTTTTTTATGTCGGTTTATTTTTTGCGAATCTGGGTCAAAAAACTGTCGGTAAAATTTTATGCCTCAAAATTTTGCGATTTGTCATTGTCGCTAAAAACTAAAAAAAAATCTTAAGTTTTTTTTTTATTAAAGTCTTTAATTTACAATAATATGCATACGATATATTGCGCATAAAATACAATGTTTCACCCTCTTTCTTTGGTTAAATAAATTAAAAGAATAGTGCTGCTTTTTAAACAATTAGAGGATAATGAATGTTTAGTGAATTTTTTTAATTTATTTTCAAGAAAAAGTATTTTTTGCGAGTGATTTATCTACAAATTTCGATATTTACTGTATATCTGACCTTAAACATTTTCATTCAGAGTTTTATATTCCCTAAATCTGAGTTTTTAAAAAAATGTATTCATTTATTTGGCAGAATTAATTAAGCAAGTCATCAATTATTACAAACTCTATTTTAATTCGGTATTTCTTAGACTCACAGTTCTCTGTAAATGATGTACGTAACTTTAAATCTAAAGCTTTAAGACGTTTTCAGCTTCAACCAAGTAAACAACAATTCAACTTATGGACTAGAGATCTAGAGTGGAGTTCAGAGTTAATTTATTGCTATTAAGTTTAGAGTTAAAAAGTCTGACTTAAGCCAGTCCCTTCTATTTTACTTCGTTTGAAGTGAAATAATATGGTCTGGCTTGAGTCAGACTAACAGTTAATTTTTATCAATTAATTAATTGGAGATTTTTTGTCGCTGCTTAGAAAACTTCATTTCCTTATTTTATTATTTATTCATTTATTAATGCTTTTGGAGGGTTTCTATTTGGATTCAATGCCCTACAAACAAAAGCAAAAAAGCATTTGATTAAAACTACGCAAAACAATTTTAAAAACATTTTCAGTATAAATGAAATCAGCAAAGCCAAAATTGAAGCATACATTTATTAAAATAATGAATTTAGTTTAAAAAAAAAAACAGAATTTTTATGTCCAGTTTCATAATTCTTTAGTCAGATTCGCACATAAATAATTTCAGCAAGCATCTTAAACAAAAAAAAGTCTGGAAACAAAATTTATAAAGAATAGTAGAAGCTTTTCGAGTTTTTATGATGATACGAAAAAAAAAATTAAAAATATGTATGATATACGTTAGAGTTTGGCTCCGTGGCATAATAAATACTTCACTGATGATTTTTTTTTCTTGGAGAAGATGGAATTAGACGGTGTGGGTGTCACATAATGTCAAATAGTAGAACTTCAAACTGCATGTTAATTAACTATCGGAATCAATAAAGGTATCATCTTAATACATGTAATTGAAACTGTAGAGATTATTATAATTTTACTTAATTTTATTCATTATCACCAAATATTTAAAATGTCATATATATCAAATTCAATGGCGCTGTACAAATATCATATGTAAAACAAATAAATCTATAAAAATTCAAAGCAGTCATATTTAAAATCAAGATAAGTCAAAAAAATCAATGTCACTTTTAAATATCTTAGATTTCTTAAGGGGCAATATCCCTCTGCTCCAAATTTCACGACTTTTTTTTCTTAATAACATTGAATTTGTTTTACCATAAATTCAAATGGAAAATAGCTGAAGTTATTTTTTTTTTTCAGAAATGAATAATATGTCAAAAACATGATGTGAAAAAAATTTGATATGGTAAATGCTAGATTAATTTTTTTATCTCACAATTAAATTAGAAATATGAATATATAAAAATAATATTTAACTTTTATTAGAAACATATACCCACTGCTTTTTAAAAGAATAACAAATTGTTTTCTGTGCATGAAAAAAAAAAGTATCCATTCCATAAAGTCTTTATCGTTCCATTATTGTTGAAAATATTTTTTAATGAAACAAATATTAATTAAATGTTTATAAACAAAACTGCATCTGAAATTTCTGTACAATTAAAAGAATTATACTTTAAGAGAGAGATTTCTCAATTTACACTGTTTAAAGGAACTAAGTATAAATGTTTTAGGTAAAATATTATAAATATATTTTTAATATACTAGCAATAGAAACTAAAAATCAACATTTGTACCATAAAATAAGGTTGATTAAGTTGACTATAAAATTGTCCTTATGGATGAAACTTGTAAACTCTGACATGACAATTCACTGAATATCATTACAAAATGTCTGAAGAAAGTTATCTCTCTAACCAGAAGAGTTATCTCCCTTATCAGAGGGATATTCCACCTTAAATACGTACAAAAATAATAAATTAGTACGCGTTTTACCATATCAAATGATATAATGCTGATAATAATTCTTTTTTTTTTATTTCTGCATGCCGAAAACCTGTATTTTACAGCAAAAAATCAAACTTAAGTGTTATTTATTTTAATGCCTTATTGACAGACAAATCAACGAGCATAATTTTGAGAAAATGTATTTTCCCCTCTTAAAAGTCATTAGAGTATGAAGAAAAACAAAAAGTATCCATTCCTATGTCTTTACTCAATGTTAGAACTTTGTTTTGGAACAAGCATGTTAATTTTGCTGCTGCGTCTATCTATCAAAGTTATGCGGGTTTTTTTTCGTGTTTCAGCACATTTATAAAACCAATTGTGACTTTTGCATGAACACCTTCATTCTTTCCAAAAAATACTTTTTTTATGCACTAATCTAACATTTACATTATTGATCTCAAAACCACTCATGTACACTTCTGTCACATGCCTTTAACACTAAACTTAAATACAGACACTACAATCTAACGTTTTAAAAGTCTTAGTTTAAAGGGTTTTGGACTGTACGTTATTCCTAATATGCCCTCCGTATATGAGGGCAAACACTCGGGATCCTCTGGTTTTATCTCAAACTTCTGTAGAAATCTGGTGAAGAATAAGAAAAGCTCCATTTTGGCGAGTGACTCTCCTAGACATACCCTGCGTCCTGTCGAAAAAGAAGAAAAATGTATTTACTTTCACGTTCTAAAAATTTCTTAAGAAATACATTTTACTTATAGGTTAGGATTTCAGAATAGAATTGCACGCTTTTAACAAAATAATTGATTCATTTATAAATTGGATTTTTCAAATTTACTTTACCCAATTATCAAACACTGTATTAATTTTCTGTACCTATTGAAAACGGAATCAGTTTATTTTTCTGTTCCCCTTGACAATTCCCGTTGTCATCTAAAAATCTCTCTGGTTTAAATTTGGTGGGTTCCGGAAAGGCTTCTGGATCCGACATAACAGAATCTAAAATGCAAAACACCAGGACTCCTTTGGGGAACAGATGTCCTTCGTAGACAAAATCCTCACCGGATGCATGTGGTAAATTCATCGGAACTATATCTGCAACTCGCTGAATTTCCAAAATGAACGCCTCTACCCTGGGTAGTTTGTCTCTGTGTTCCATCTTAGGCTGACCTTGACCGATGACGTCATCAATGTCCTTCTGTAGGATTTTCTGCCATTGTGGATAATGGATCAAGTACAGAAGCGCCCATCTAAGTGTTGTAGAAGTAGTCTCAGTTCCAGCACCAAAGAAATCTCGTACACTGACGACAAGCTGTTCATCTGTCAAAAGTGAAACACAGTCTGATGAACTTCATTTCATGACGCTTATAAATGTGTTAAAAAGATATATTCTAAAAGGATTCAAAAACACTCTCAGGGAATAAATACACAAGTGTACTATATAATTATACGATATTTTAAAATAAATATTTTGAGCACATGAATGCTTTCGCCTCCATGGCACCTGCTCTGATGTTTTTAGAGGTCTGTAATTTCTCTATTCACCTTCTGTTTCCCATTTTAACAGGTGGACGAATTTAAAACTTGGCGAATCAAAAGAACAATGTACGGTTTTTAAAAAACTGTGACTAAACGAATTTAAAACGGGACAAATTTTTTTTTTTGAAAAGTGTGAAATGACGAAAATTACTTTTTTTTTACCTGAAAATGTGTTTATTTCATTATCTCTTTGTTTTTGTTCCAGGAGGAAAGCATCAATGTAATCGTTGATGTTGTTCTCATCAAAATTATTCCTGTGATCTTCTATCATTTCATTGATAAATGAAGTCACTTCATTAGTTTTCTCCATTCTTGTGCGAAAGTCACTCAGCTGTAAATGGCGTAACCAAGGAAAAATAAACTCAATTGAAGAAGCATTGGCAGTGGAGACTATTTCATTTAGCAGACGAATTAATTTTGTAAATTGGGCATCCTTATAATGAAATCTTTTGCCGAATAAAAGTGAACAAATGACGTTAGACACCGAGGTGTTCAGAATGCTCTGAATGTCAAAAGCCTCTTGTCCGTATTTTTCTAGTTCATCCATTAAGCAATCTACTTCCTCCATAATCTGGCTTTCCAAGCAACGTTTCCCGAACCCGAACTTACGCATCGTTGTCAGTGCAAACGTTCTTTGCTCTTTCCATAAAGGACCTGATGACCAAAGCAGTCCTACAAAGTAAAATATTGAATATCCTTTTAGAATTATTTTATTTATTTTTTTCAGTGTTAAATCATTTTGATTGATTGATTGTATATTGTTTAACGTCCCTCTTGAGAATTTTTCACTCATATGGAGACGTCACCGCATGCCGGTGAAGGGCTTCAAATTTAGACCTATACTCGGCACTCAGGGCCATTGAGCAGTGAGGGTTCTTTATCGTGCCAGCGCCTACCGTGACACGGGACCTACGTTTTTAAATTCATATCCGAAAGACCCGTGACTTTCACTTCTAGTGCCGAGCGCTTGGCGAAGGAACAGTCACTACCTTTGTTTACGTCTTAGGTATGACGCGGCGCCGCGAACGAGAATCGAACCCGGGCCTCCCGATCACGAAGCGAACGCTCTACCACTAGGCTACCTTGACCGGTCTTAAATCATTTTGAAAATATCAACAATGATTAATTAAGAACAATATGTGCTGCGAACAAACCTTTTCCTTTTGCAATAGCTACAGTTGGTAGGATTTTAGGTCGCTCTGAGAACACGTCGCCATGTTTTGCCAGCAGTTCCCTAATATGATGATATCCATGGACAACTATTATAGGTTTGTAGAATATCATCAAAGAGTAAATGTCTCCATAGATCTTCCTCAACTTTCTGTGAGCTTTCGGGGCTTCAGATGGTTTAAAGAGTCCTACATTACCGATGAATGGATAGCTTGTCGGACCTGGTGGAAGAACTCTGGGTCGTTTGGAAAGACCACAAATCAAACAGACCAACACAACAATAATGGCCACAGTAACCCACATCGTGCATAGAGGAATTTTTCCAAACGTGATGGAATTTGGCTCACGAAAGATATTCACTCCTCATAACTTTTCTAAAAGTGCGTTTTCTTATCAAGCTTGAAGTGCAAAAATACGTCCACAACACTGTCTGACCTTGAAAGTTAAATCAGCGTTCTAGTTTGTTACCTCGGCTGAAATATATGCCACTGCGTGACAAACCTATGGTATATAATGAAAAACGACAACAGCACAGTTGGAATTATCACAGTTCCTTTTTTTATTGATTGTCATACAGCAATAGCTCGACGTATATCCATTTTTACATTATTAGAACTTGATAACACTGTATTTTGTTTGCCATCTTTTTATTGACGGATCATTTTATGTTTGTCTTGACCAGGTAAAGCCAGGTTTTTTTCTTCATTTGAAACTAATGAAAGAAATAATTATTATATACATATGTGATAATTGCATGTAGTTGAGTTAAATATTGAAAAAAATTACCTCAAGAAAACCATGCTATATTGATTGTTTTAACCGTGACCGCATAACGTCTGCGCAGTCATTATTTTTTGGAATAACACCCGTTGTCAAGCAATGTTGTCTGTTGCTATGCTAGAAGGCGTGTTTTCATTATTCAGCGGGTAATAATGTTTTTAACAAATGTTTTCCGACGAATCAGATTAAATTAATTTACATCAAGTATAATATATTTAGTTATGGTATTTCTTTTTTATCATCCCGTGGGGATCTGGGTTAGAATAGGTCCTCAGTACCCCCTTGCTTGTCGTAAAAGGCGACTAAATGGGGCGGTCCTTGACCGTCCTTCAGATGAGACCGTATAAACCGAGGCCCCGTGTCACAGCAGGTGTGGCACGATAAAGATCCCTCCCCGCTCAAAGGCCGTAAGTACCGAGCATAGGCTTAAATTTGCAGCCCATCACCGGCAATGGTGACGTCTCCATATCAGTGAAATATTCTGGAGAGGGGCGTTAAACAGTATACAATCAATCAATCAATCTCTTTTATCGTTTTTACATTAAAGACACATTTACACACATAGTCTACCATAATTCTCTTTTCTCAACATACGAAAGCACTCGCAGATTACTATATACTACTCACAAGTGAGCGAATTTAAAACGAGCGAATCCAAAGAAAAAGTATAAATTAAAAAAAAACAATGACTGAGAAATTGCTTTCAAGTGTGAAAGGGCAAAATTAACCCCGTAAAATGTATTTGACGAACAATTTATTATGATATTATATGTTACAATTTCTTTTCGGTGCCCCAGATATGAAACAGCTGTGTCAGACTCTGTTGTATCCTTTATCTCAAGCTCACCAGGATACAAGTATATCGTATCGACACAAAAATGGTTATTAACATTGTTAATTAACAATACGTCGTCGATATAATTATCTAAATGTCGACTTGAAGGCCAAAGCAAGTATTTTCTTCTTTTCACACAGAAGATTTTGAACAAATTATCCTTCATATGAATACAAAAATAGGTCTGCTAATAACTACATTTAGGTATATCAACTCGACATTTCGGTATATCAACGACGTATTGTCAATTAACAAAGGTAATTTCCATTCTTATGTCGATACAATATATCCTGGTGAGCTTGAAATAAAAAAAAAACACACAGAGTCTGACACATCTGTCTCATATTTGGATATTTTACTTGAAAAAGACGTTAATGGTAATCTTTTTGATTAGATACAAAAGAGCATGCTTTATGTATGAACATTTTCTAAAACGAGGTAAATTATTGACAAAAAGTTGATGAAACAAGAAATTCAGCAGTTTCGTTTTAAGTCATCATTTCGTAAGTTCTATGGTCGATACAATGACCTTGTCAGCAAATACAATTTATCATTGAGTCAAATGCTGACTGACATTTTTCAAAATTATTTGCTAGTTTATTATTTACATACTGAATTGACGATGGATTTTTCTGTTATTTTCTGATTAAGACAAGGAGCACACGGTGGGTGTCACCGGTCGGCAGGGGATGTTCACTCCTCCATGGCACCTGATCCCAACTCTTATATTTAGAAGTCAGTGTTTGCTCTGCTCCTATTTTGTGTTGTATTGGTTTATGGACTTTGGGTCTTAAATACTCTTTGTTATCTACATATGTTTCATCCATTTTTAGAAATTGTTCAACCGTAGTTCGTTCATGGTGTAGGTTATCGAATGAATTTGGAGATGAAACAAACAACATTTCATGAATTTATATATGTGACATTAACTCTCTGTGTTTCTCTTTCTTCTGTAACTCAAGATCAAATGTCAAAAACACAGCAAATAAATGTCGTAGATTTTCAATGGCATACGAAGACCCATTATTTCGATTTATGAAATGTCTTTCTTAATATCTGTTTGTACCATTAAGAGAAACAGTGGGAGAGAGTCTCGTCCTGTGCCTGGTTGAAGGATTCTAGCTTTGTAAACATTCTACAAAACAATAGTCTGTGTGAAGAACGACAGATTGATCAAACAATTTCTTCTATTTAGAAAATATATTTATTATCTAGAAATAAAAAACACACACGTTGTTTGATTGATATGGACATCATAGTAACAACGGAATGATAATGCATCAACCTATGACCACTTCTCCATTGTTGATCTTCATTTGTTCAACAAAAACAATTTTGAAGTATACATTTTATATAACCATCTTCACGATTAATCTTGGTAATTTAAACCAAAGTCTGTGAAACTTATACTCGTAGTAACTCAACAATACTTGAAATAGATTACTTCATAACAGTTCTTGCTTGATATTTTATATTTAAACAGTGCTCGACAGTGGTAGAGAGCTGTACACTTGTCCAGTTACACCGGATGACTTTATCTGAGTTTCTTTGGTTACCCTAAGGTTAACCTTAACATTCCTAACGTTTGACGAGCCTCAGTTTGAATGGTTGAGTGGAATTGGTCGCTCCAAAAGTTCCTTGAAGGGAAGGTAAACAATCTGGATTTTCTGGTTTTACATCAAACCTCTGCAAGAGTCTTGTCAAGAATAAAAAGAGCTCCATTTTGGCGAGTGGCTCCCCTAGACACATCCTTCGTCCTTTAAGAGAATAAATTTGCGAAATATATCAATCGGTAATAAATACTAACAATTTAAAGATATTCAGCACTGCACAATCCTAACAGATAGCAAGGTTTCTCTGTTGGAATTCATGACTTTAAATGTAAAGTTTTAAGACAATTTTTTCCATTGCTGATTACATCAACCTACCAGTTGAAAAAGCAGTCACTTTCTCTTTCTTCTCCACCAACAGCTTTCCGTTCTCATCAAGAAATCTCTGTGGGTTGAATTTGGAAGGTTCTGGGAAGATCTCAGGATCGGACAGCACGGAATCTATGAGGAAAAACATAACTGCTCCTTTGGGGAAGACAAAGCCTTGGTACCAAATGTCCTCGCTGGTTGTATGCGGCAGGTTCAGTGGAAGAATGTTCGCCACGCGCTGTACCTCTAGGAGGAATGCCTCCACTCCGGGTAACTGTTCTTTGTGCTCCATGTTAGGTTGACCTTGACCTATGACGCAATCAATGTCCTTCTGGAGCTGCTCCTGTATCTCGGGATAGTTAATCAGATACAGAAGGGCCCATCTCAGTGTCAGTGAGGTCGTCTCTGTTCCCGCGGTGAAAAAGTCCCGGACAGATCCAGCCAGCTGTTCGTCTGTAGGAAAAAGGCAAGAAAATCATTAACTTAATTAGTTCTCTTTGTGTTGGGAACAAATGAGGCTTAAATGAATTTATGTTGTAAAATGTTTAAAATATTGTTTGAAATACTTTTTTCATTGATAACAATTATACAAATATTAGAAGAAGCGAGTCGTGTACTTGTAGTGACCATAATGAAGAAAATGCTTAATACTTCTAATACCGTAGTAATAGCTAATGTTAGAACATTGACCATGTTTATCCCACAAACAATATTTATCAACTATCATTAAACATGTGCAGGCATGTGTGAGTTTCACATATATATATAAGTTCTAGGTACCCGTAGCGTTAAGTTCATTCTACTTTGTGACTCTGAATTGAATAGTTTTACATCTACATCTACATCAAAGCTTCTGATCTTGTTGTTTCAATTTTTACCACTTACGACATCGTTTGATCATTTTATGGAGAAACTTATATCTACTTTATTTACCTGTTGGTGGTGTTTGCAATGATTTTTTTCTATATATATAAGGTAATTTATCTTTTACATTATTGATATCTAACATGTGTAACAGTGTTGTTGCAATTCTTTTTTAATCATAAGCAAAACATGTGTCATTTCAGGTGAAGAGAAAATGAAGATATATGGATTTTCTTGGTACGTGCTTTACCTGTAAATGTTGTGTTGAGGGACGTGCTTTACCTGTCTATGTTGTATTGAGGGACGTGCTGTACCTGTAAATGTTGTGTTGAGGGACGTGCTTTACCTGTAAATGTCGTGTTGAGAGACGTGTTTTACCTGTAAATGTTGTGTTGAGGGACGTGCCTTACCTGTAAATGTTGTGTTAATCTCACTCGTCCTCCGCTTTTGTTCTGCGAGGTAAGCGTCAATATAATCATTAATGTTGTTCTCGTCAAAATTCTTCCTGTGTTCCTCTACCCTCTCAGCAACAAAATCGTTTAGGGCTTTAATGATGGGGGCTGCTTTGTCAAATTTAAAAATTTTAAAACCAGCTAATTCAGGAAAGATGAAAGCTGGGGATGAGAAGCTTAAGACTGCTATTAGAGTGTTAAACAGATTCAACAATCGCTTAAATTTAGCGTCTTCATAGTCGAACCTTTTCCCGAACAGAAGTGAGCAGATAACATTTGATACACTGGTTTTTAACTGTTCCTGGATGTCAAACGGTCGACCTTCATATTTTTCAAACTCTTCCATCAAACAGTCCACCTCTTCCATCACTTAGCTTTGGAGGCATCGTCTTCCAAATCCGAATTTCCTCATCGTTGTCAGAGCAAAAGTCCTCTGTTCCTTCCACCAAGCTCCAGACGACCAGGCCAAACCTTTAATTAGTTATTTCACTGATAAAGACCTTGTCTGCTTTATTATATTGGCTTTGTTAAAATCTTGTTATATTTTTTTTGAACTTGTCTTGCAATTTTTTTATTTTTAATACTAGTAATTCATTGAAAATATAATTAAAGTCCAAATTGAATTCTATAACTTTACCTTTTCTTTTAGCGAGGACTTCCGACGGAAACACCCTGGGTCTGTCTGAAAACACATCCCCGTGTTTGACCAGAAGTTCCCGGATGTTGTGGAGACCATGGATAAAAATGACAGGTCTGTGGAAGATCATCAAGGAATAAAAGTCTCCGTAAATCTTCCTAAGTCGCCTGTGATCTTTCACGGCCTCTGAGGGTCTGATGAGTCCCACATTCCCAATGATTGGATAACATGACGGACCTGGTGGAAGTCCCTTCCGTCGTCCGGTCAGACTCCACACCAGACAGACCAACACACAGACAATAGCTAAAGTCACCCACATTCTAGTGATACTTATATCGTCTGACGGAAACTGTTTCAAGCTCTGCTTAAAAACGCTAAATATAACTAAACATGCTAAAGGTCGAATGCCTCACAGTTTGTTATGTCCGCGAAATGTTGCCAATAACCTGTTTACTTATGTATCTATACAAATGTCGTTACATTTCTTCAATTCCCTTTAAAGAAGAAAATCTTAGTCTGATATTTGGACAACTATTTCCCAAGCTCAACTTTTTTTTGAAGGGGAAATGTCCTCTAAAAGGTAATATTTAGAACATTTTATTTTAATTGTATTGAAATTGAACGTGTCCTTTTGACCTATAGATCTGATAATGACCTCGGCCGACAGAACACGCTGCATGAGCAGGCACTTGTTTTTGTTAATCCTGTCTGTACCGTGACGTTCAACACGCCTCAGAAATTACTTGCCACCCTTTAACACCCACCGGGCAACTTTAGCTGGACAAAAAGGATAATAACAATTAATATCTTTGAATAGTAGAAGGAACTAATGGCCAGCAAAGCCCAATTATAATTTCTTTTCAATTTTTTTTAAATGAATATAATTTAAAAAGTTGATAATCAGGAAAAAAAATTCACAGAAATGTTTCCAAATTTGACAACAAAATGGATTAGATCTCGCAAGAGTTATATCTTTATGTATATTGTATATATGTTATGTTAATCTGGTGTCGTGTCTTAATTATGTAATGAATGCAGGTGCATTAATTTAAACAGATTATTAAATTGCCTTGTTAGTTGCTAAGTGATAGGTGTAAATTGGAACATTTCTATTCAGAAACATGTACAGGGATAAACAATGTCAATTAAGTGGTTTGATACGGTCTACTTGAACAAAACACACTGGTTGAGATCAAAATTGATTCCCGAAATGTACTAAGTCTTGGAGGATATTTATCTTGATGATGATGATCACACATTAGTCATTAAAAAAGATTCTAAGTGATTTTTATGTTCATTTTTTTTTAATTATACTTAAGTTTGAGATCAAAAAAAAAAAAAAAATTATGAATGCACTTGCTCCGCCCCCTTTTGCGATCCTTCAACTCATTATTTTTAGAATTTCGACATTCAGTTTAAACCTTTGACCATCTACAAAATAATATGCTTCTTTGTAACTAAAAAGAGTTAAAGTCGATACAATATTATAAACATTATACACAGATTTTCTTTGCATAAAAATCGCATTTTGAGGGTGTGATTCACTATACCATTGTTTTACGTATAGTCTTGCATGTTTATATTTTAAAAAATATTTCAATATTTAATAGTCCTCGAATAACTTGATTTTATTCAATCGTTTAAAAAAGAAATAATTAACTAGAAATGCAAGAAACTCTGCCTGTTGAATTGTAATAAAATATGTCAACATTGGGCTAATTTTACTGGTTACGACATCGCCTATACCAGTGAGCTAGGCCTTTGTATCAGACGATATTCATAGGGGGCGTTCCATTTTTCATGAAGTCCCCAGATGCGTTACCGTGTTGCCAGTTTGTTGATGACGGAATGATATCTACATTGGTCTAACCCTCTATACTATAAATCAAACATATGGAGATAACGAACAGTATTCAAGATCAAAAGTCCATAAAACTATACAACATAGGAGAAGAGAAAACATGAACCTCTAAAACATCAGAGGTGAGGTGGGATCAGGTGCCATGGAGGAGTGAGCATCCCCTGTCGACCGGTCACATCCGCTGTGTGCTCCTTGTCATGATCGGGAAATAACGGAAAAATCTGTCGTCAATTCAGTGTATAAATAATGGACTAACAATTAGTATGAAAAACGTCAGTCAGCATTTGACTCAATGATAAATTGTATTTGCTGACAAGGTCATTGTATCAACCATAGAACCTACGATATGATGACTTTAAAACGAGCCTGCCGAAATTCTTGTTTCACCAACTTGTTTGTCAATAAATTACCTCGTTGTAGAAATTCATATGTAGAGCATGCTCTTGCGTATCGAGTCAACTGAGAAATATAAACTCCGTATGCAGGTGATGAAGGTATATTGCTGCATAAGTAAGGGAAGTTGACGATAGAAAAGTATAAAGTCATCACGTTTATCATAGAGCTTGGTTGATAGATAATTTAACGTCTTTTTCAAGTAAAATATCCAAAAATAAAACAGTTTTGTCAGACTCTGTGGTATCTTTTATCTCAAGCTCACCAGGATATATCTGCTTCATATGAATACAAAAATAGTTTTGCTAATAACGGGGCGCAATTGGTACCCATTGGAATTGCAACTGATTTTTGGAAGACCTTGTCTCCAAAAACAACATATAGATATTGTCAATGAGAAACTCAAGCATCTTTTGAAGTCGACTTCAGAGTACTTGTGTGTACAATCAGAATGCTTTTTAACAAAATAATTTTGCAAATGACCAATTACAAGGTAATAATTTTACGAGTTCCATTTTTATTGAAAAAGCAGTTGTCAATGATATCGAAAAGCAGAATATCGCAATCAAAGTATAGAGGGTTGAACCTAATGTAGAGTTATCATTTCGTCATTTACAAACATGGAGAGCGTCTAGGATTCTGGCCCTGGTGTCATGATAAAGTCTCTCAACTCAAGTAAAAAGTCGCCCGCGCAGTGTAGTGGTAAGGGCGTCTGCTCTAAAATCGCAAAGTAAGGAGTTGATCCTTAAGTTCGAATCCCACTGTGGGACGTGGAGACCGGTGCTTCGGATGAGACTGTATAAACCAAGGTTCCGTGTCGCAGTAGGTGCTGGCAGAAAAATTTCACACATGGCTCAATGGCCCTAAGTGCCAAATATAAGACCAAAATTGCAGCTATCCACTGGCAAGTGGCGGCGTCTCCATATGAGTGAAAAATTCTCGAGAGGGTCATTAAACAATATACAGTCAATCAAAGTAAAACAAAAGTTATTTAAAAAATGAAAAGTTTCAACACAAAAAGGAAACAATTTTCAATAACAATTAAAATTTCTTGTTTTTTAACAGACATAAAATTACACTATACAAATTCGATTATAAAACTGTTTAAAAATTTCTGTCCACATCATTACGTGAATATTGATGGTAGATAACCGGTATTTCTACAATCTAGTTCCACCAATATTTTAATCAGAATAATAGAACATTTAACAATAATAATGTGACGTTCAAATATACGAATAAATACCATAAGTCTTAAAAAATCTTATATACATGAATATACAATACACAATTTTCTATATTTCCTAGGCTGAGTGCTTTTGTTTAACACTGATACAAGCATTATTTTAGTCATTTCACCACTGTGCAATGAAACGCTCTTCATCTGAACATGCTGAGGCTTTTGGGAATTGTTCTGTATATCTCTAAGTATTCATTTAGAGAAGCATGTCTCAACGTTTAATAAGCCTCACATTAAAGGCTTTTGGTTCGTTGGCGAAACCAAGTGTGCCCTCCAGTGATGGTAAACAGTCCGGGTTTTCTGGTTTGATGTCGAACCTCTGCAAGAGTCTTGTCAAGAAAAGAAAGAGCTCCATTTTGGCGAGCGGCTCTCCCAGACACATCCGGCGACCTGATATATAGACAAATATAATTTATATACGAGGGCTGTTCAATAAATAATGTCCTGAAGTGTATGACATACAATACAGCTATCATATGACATTAAACTTGACTTTCTCTCATTGTTGAATCTTTACTAAATTTATAACAGTTTATGTGACCACTTTTCATCACATAGTTTCATCGTGAGAAGCTGGGAAACAAGGGCTATTCGAGACACTGCATGGTAAAGAATCAGTAAACTAGAGTGAAATTAAAAGCTTTATTAAAGCTGCTGTAAAACTTGTTAAAAATCCCAAAGAAATATTCACTGAAATATGCGACATTTACAGCAACCAATGCCTGTTTTATAGACAAATGAGCAGGTGGATTTCAATGATAAAAAATTACATAATGGGCATCAAAAGTGGGTACCGTCCTTGCCAACAAAAATTATAACAACTTATGTACTGTTTGCCAAATTTCAACAAATAATATTTGATGATGTATGATTGACTTTAAGACACATAGCAAATTTGATAGACATCATATCGGGAGTAGTTTACAATATATTCAAGAGAAACGTTTGACGGTAAAAAAAAAAAAAAAGTTTGGTACTCAAATGTCATCCTATATTTTGAAAAATGAGAGAAAACGACAGTGTGCACGAATGTCTTACAATTATTTTAAAATATCAGTAATTGTAGTTATCCGAGTTTGTTTGATATTCAAACAGATAATGGAACTTGAATCTATTGCTTAGAACCCTCAAAACTAAGTTTACCATAAGATGTACTTGATAAAAATGGCGAAGGTCTGACAAGAGCAAAGGTATGCAAGAGCACAAAGACAAATTTATATGCAATTTTCTTAAATATTAGTGGTATTGCTGTTCAAATTCGTATTCGGGGAGACAGTTTAATTTCTGGAGGAGTCTAGAAAGCAATTTTTTGCAAAAAAATCGAAAGGTTTATTAGAGAAAGGACCCAGAATCAGGAATCCACTACATTGAATTTTTCATGATAGCGTCCAAACCTGCATGCACTGAAGAGTAAAGGGGTGTTCGGGATAAACAGAAAGTTAATGTTTTTTCACATTAACAATATTCGCCAGATCTTTGACCTTTTGACTTGTTTCTATTTCCAAACTTGAAAAAAAACACCTTTCAGAAGGAAGAAACAAGTCCAGGAAATCATTGGATCTGGCATTTTCCAGTATACTAAGGGTTATACCCAAAAATGAGTTCCAAAGATAATCAGAAATTTGATAAAAATGTTACGGATGTGTGTTTTAATTAAAAGTGATTAATTAGTAAAATCATGAAGACTAATTCATTGAAAAACGTCTTTTGCTTCTTTCCGAGCACCGAGGATATTATTTATTGAACAGCCCTCGTAGAAGACAAATATACTGACATTGACTAAAAATAAGGTTTATAGTCATTAAATTATCTTCAAGGTGATAACGTATAGGATATTTATATATGGACCTATCTATGGGATTAATTTATAGTGACAAATAACCATTTCGAGACAGAAAACATAAAACCAAGTTTTTTATCATAATTTTAAGATAATCTTTTTTTCTTTTCATTTTATCTTATACTATTATAATAGTCTTTATAATTAAGAATGTTCTGAGAAGGATAGTGAATGTAAAAATGTGTCATAATTCATTTTTCTTTATTTCCCGATCATGACAAGGAGTACACGGCGGGTGTTTTCTCCCCCACGGCACCTGATCCCACCTCTGTTGTTTTTGAGGTTCGTGTTTCCTCTGCTCCTATTTTGTAATTTTAAGTGGACTTTCGAAATTGAATTCTGTTCGTTATCTCAATATATTTCATACATGTTTCAGTCATAATAATGCCCTTGAAAGTTGTTTGAAAATTTTCTAAAATATTCCAGCAAAACGACAAACCTGTTGAGAAAGCAATGACTTTGTCTTTCTGTTCTGTAGAACATTTTCCGTTCTCGTCCAAAAATCTTTCTGGTTTGAATTTGGAAGGCTCTGGGAAAATAGTCGGATCAGACAGCACCGAGTCTAACAAGAAAAACATGACTGCTCCCTTTGGAAAGAGATAACCTTGGAACCAAAAATCCTCGCTTGTTGTGTGCGGAAGGTTCAGGGGAACAATGTTCGCCACTCGCTGGACCTCTAGTATAAACGCCTCCACTATTGGTAATTGTTCTTTATGCTCCATGTTCGGTTGACCTTGACCTATGACACTGTCGATGTCCTTCTGGAGTTTCCTCTGCATCTCGGGGTAGTTCGTCAAATATAGAAGGACCCAGGTCAATGTTAAAGACGTCGGTTGTGTCCCAGCTGTGAAAAAGTCTCGTACGGAACCAGCGAGTTGCTCATCTACAACAAGGAATATACTTGAACCATATGGAAAGTATAAAAACCCATGTTCAGGCCCATGAGCATTATAAACAGGAGTACAATTTTTCTCAAAGACCAAGTTTCTGAACCCTGTGCTATTGTCTTTAATACTTGTTTGTGAAACTAAAACTTCATACAATGCAGCGTAGTTCAGGATCCCTACTTTGAGAGCACACTTTCATTTTATAATGACAACATATTGCCCTTCCTTTTTTGAATGTTTATAAAATGTAAAGAAATTAACCGTCCTTTTGATTCCTAGGTTTAACAATCAACCCTATCAGATTTTAAATATATTGAGAATATATAAATAAACAGTTAAATTCCGTTATCTCGAACACAATTATCTGGAATATCGGGGTTTTATCAGTGTGCTTTGTCAGTTCCAACTGTACTTTTCTTTATGGATTTGAACCTCATTATTTTGAATAATCACACATACCGACGTTTAATAATTGGTCCTTACTGTATTCATGATACCAAGATTTGACTGTATAATTTAGTTTTGACGTGGTTTACCTGTAAATGTGGTGTTTATTTCACCAGTCCTGCGTTTCTGTTCTGCGAGGTAAGCATCGATATAATCATTTATGTTGTTCTCATCAAAGTTTTGTCTGTGTTCCTCGACAATTTCACCAACAAAATCAGTCAGAGCTTTGATAACAGGAAGTGCTTTGTTGAAACCTGTAAAACGGGTCAGTTGAGGAAAAAAGAATGCCGGGGCTGAGAGGTTCAAAGCTTTCAGTATTGATTTAAACATGCTCAACAGCTGCTTGAATTTTGCGTCTTCATAGTCGAATCTTTTGCCAAAGAGAAGGGAACATATCACATTGGATATGCTAATTTTCAGCTGTTCTTGGATGTCAAACGGTCGCCCTTCGTATTTCTCAAACTCTTCCATCAAACAGTCCACTTCTTCCATCACTTGGCTTTGGAGGCATCGTCTTCCAAATCCGAATTTCCTCATCGTTATGAGAGCAAATGTCCTCTGTTCCTTCCACCAAGATCCAGACGACCAGGCCAAACCTTCAACAAAGAAACACCCTTTATTATTTTTCATTATATCAGCTCCAATAATCTTGTCAAAAATACTTGTAAGCCGCTTGAATGTAAATGTGTTTATTTAATAAGCTTTAATAACAAGAAATGTTTTCAATCAAGACGTGATAAAAATGTTTTCTAAAACGAGGTGAATTATTGACAAACAAGTTGATGAAACAAGAATTTCAGCAGTCTCGTTTAAAGTCATTATTTCCTAAGTTCTATGGTCGATACAATGACCTTGTCGGCAAATACAATTTATATTATCATTGAGTCAAATGCTGATTGACTTATTTCATACTTATTGTTAGTCTATTATATATACACTGAATTGACGACGGATTTTCCCGTTATTTCCCGATCATGACAAGGAGGACACGGCGGGTGAGACCGCTCGGCAGGGGATGCTCATTCCTCCATTTTGCACCTGATCCCACCTCAGATTTTTTGGAGTTCCATGTTTGCTCTGTTCCAATTTTGTATTGTTTACTGGACTTTTGAGCTTAAATACTGATCGTTATCTCCGTAATTCATTCAAAAAAGTCGGGACCTAATTTTGTTTCTGTATTAAATTTGACTACAAATGTTCTGTCTGCTTGGATACAAAGGGCTCACGGCAGATGTTGCCGGCTATCAGGGACGCTCACTCCTCCTTGCCACCTGATCCTTAGTTTGTATCTATTGTTCGTGACTGCAGGACATGGAATTCAAAGTCAACGTATGTGAAGCCTTAGGCCAGTTAGATAACATCTTACATGTGTGCACATTAAATATTTATTTGATAAGCATACCTGCCGTCTCCAGTCATCTAGTAAACGTGTTAAAAATGATATTAATTCTTATTTACCTTTTCTTTTGGCGAGGACTTCCGACGGAAACACCCTGGGTCTGTCTGAAAACACATCCCCGTGTTTAACCAGAAGTTCCCGGATGTTGTGGAGACCGTGGATAAAAATGACAGGTCTGTGGAAGATCATCAAGGAATAAAAGTCTCCGTAAATCTTCCTGAGTCGCCTGTGATCCTTCACGGCCTCTGAGGGTCGGATGAGTCCGACATTGCCAATGATTGGATAACATGTCGGACCTGGTGGAAGTCCCTTCCGTCGTCCGGTCAGACTCCACAACAGACAGACCAACACACAGACAATGGCTAAAGTCACCCACATAGTGTAGCTAACATGGACGCTATATCAGACAACGTGTAAAGTGAATAACAAATGGCCTTATCAAGTGCCAGGGTCGACAATATTTATTTTCTGAAACGGTTCAGATAATGCCCACAGTTGACCTTGGTCGGCCATATAAATATATAAAATTAATTAACATGCTATATACTGTTCAGAAAATTTTAAATCTTTACACAGGCTGTCTGTTAATATTTGAATAAAGTATGTTTTAATTAAACATAGCCTAATTTTCGCCACATTTCGAAATAGCACTTTTATTTGGATATACGTATTCTGTACTTCTCAAGGCCATTATATACACATCACTCTCGCAGCGCAGAACGAATTTCGCCTGTTTAATAGTTTAGACCTGTATTGCGCAGCGAGAAAATTGAGTGAAAAAAGTTCATCGCTGCATCGCATTTGATTAAAGATATAAAAAAAAGAAACACATAGGTTTGGTCTGCAGGAATCGGTGTAAATTATGTCCAAAATATGGTCGGCTGACCACAGCTGCACAGACCTTGCAAAAGTACGCACCTAGGAAAATCTTATACTTAGTATTTACAAAGTGAAAAATGTCATACAAGAACAGATCTAGTAAATTATATTGAGGAGGAGCTATTTAATAGATCTCTAGAACGTTCTCATAGGAACTTGGGTTTTGATTTATAAATATGTATGTACCGTATTGATATGTAAAAAAAAAAAAAAAAAAAAAAAACTTTATAATAAATCATGCAAGACCCAAGTACCTGCATGTGGACAATCCCTTTTAGAATATTGTTTCTGCATTGAAAGGCTGATATTTGCTCTTAATTATTTTAAATGATTTTTGTGTGCGCATTTTTTCAGAAAAAATAAAGAAAAATGTTTTATTAGCAAGTAAGACACTTTAGAGCTAAAATTTGCTGTTAACATTAATGAATGCATCAATTTATGGAATGCCATGTACGACAGCCAACTGCTTACTGCCAACTGCCACACATATTTGAATAAATTTTATTTTTATATTGATATTTATGTAAATTAAAAAAAAAGCGCGGATCTATAGGACATTTTTCCAAGAGGGTCACTCAGGTAAAAAATTCAACCCAGAAATTTCTTGACAAGAAAAAAATACGTGAAGTCCTTTCCTAAATGTGAAAAATTATTTCGGCCGGGGAGAGGGGTTCTTATGCGTCATACCTTCATGTGTATGACATTTTTCATACCAACTTAACACAAATCCACATTTTCGGTTGGGGAGGGTGGGGGGATAACTTTGCAAATTTCAGAGGGGTGTTCAGGACCCCTCTCTCTAGATCTATGCATGTAAAACATATTTTATTTGTACAATCAAAGAGATATAAATGTTTGATCGGCGTATTCTAAGTGGAGGGTCCAAGGTCAGTTATACCGGTAGTAGTTCGTTTAGTTCATTTAACGTATGACTGTACAAATTTTAAATGCCCCCCCCCCCCCTTCTATGCATGTGAAACATTATGACACACAGAGATATACATCTTTAATTTGAGGAAATTTTTAACTATAGAATATTATGGAAAACGGAAATTTATTTTCAAACATCTTTCTCTGCGAAACGACAAATCTTTTTTATTATTATCCTCCCTTCAAAGGTATTGTTGTCTCCAGGGGAGGGGGGCGTGGGTGGGTGGGTGGGGGCTTCTTTAAAGATTAAAAGCAGAAAATAGTCATTTTATTACCTATTTCAAATAGGAAAAAATTAAAAATGTACTTTATCAACCGCATATATTGAATATTACATATGATAAAACATATTGGTCATTTTATTCAATTCAATATTACCACGGTGACCCCCTTGGAAAAAATGTCCTGGATCCGTGCCTTTTTTCTTTTTTTTTTTTTTGTAAAAATTCATATAAATATCAATAAAAATATATAATTTATTCAAATATGTGTGGCAGTTGGCAGTAAGCAGCTGACAGTTGGCAGTAAGCAGTCAGCAGTTGGCAGTAAGCAGTTAGCTGTCGTATATGGCGCATTCCATATCAATTGAATATCTAATAAAAAGTGTATTTAAAAAAAAAAAGCAATGTTGATGTTTTATTTTTATGTACTAAATAATGATAACCAAATACATACCATCTCCAAAACTTATATAATAATATATTTTTATTTTAATTTAAAAAGCCGTTTGATCCGTTCGACGGTGATTGTTGTTAGGAGTTTAAGGGTCGGGTTCGGAATACCATAAATATTGTGTTTACTTTTGGCGGCCAATTCAGAATCGTCCAACGGTCCTATCAATTTAATCAAAAGAATGTAGCCCTCAGAAAACACAAGATGCCTACACTGGACAAAGACAAAGGAATTGCAGATGCAGTAGAATATTTTGTTAAGGGTAAAGATGTCTTTGTTAGCGTCATATGGTATCAAATTTTAATTTGTAACAATTTTGAAATACCCCTGGACAACTGTCTAGTGTATCAGCTGCTGTATTTAATAATAATATTATGTTACTTAGTAATCTTTTTACAATCGCTACATATAGTTACATAGAACTACCAACAAAGCATTAGTTAGTTACTCAAAGCATTTTTGCTTGATTAATTTATGGTAAAGTTTTTAATGAAAATTTTTCCATCTAATAAAATCAACACCAAAAGTAAACAAAAAAAATTTTGTTTGCATGAAGAAGTTTGCAAGTTATTATCCATAACTCTGTAAACTCTTGGACTGTAAGAATTGTTAAGAATTGTAAGATCCCCTCATACCAGTAATTTAAACATTGTTTGAGGAATGAAGAACCTTCTAAGTTCAAAGGAAGCGTAACTGCCATATATATTTAAAGAAAATGGATATAAAAATTTGTATATTGAGATTTAAATGTACATTTCTAAAAAAGTAAATGCAAATTTATTGTAAAAGTGATCACTCTTAAGTCCTGTGAGACAGATGGAAAATGACATTTATTATTAATTTGAAAGTACTGCCTATATCATGTATATAGAAAATTACAGACAACATTGGATTTATTTGGTAAATTCAACATGCTGCATAACCCATTTATACGGTGTGCTCACAGTAGACATGGTAGATGGAAATGAAAGCTCAGAAGTGTAACACGAAATTTTAAATAATCATCTCTGTTGTGGTAAATATAAATGTGTTCTATATTCAACAGAAGAGAAAATGAAAAGGAGGGGCAATGTACAATTGTCAGAGGCTTTGGAGACGCTGGAGAGGGTTTCAAAAAGTCTAGGCATATCTGCAGACAATATTATCGCACTTTGTGAAGTTGCTGCCAGCGGACGCCATGGTAAAAATATGAACTAAATGATTAATTGTAAATATAAATTGTAAGCTGAAAAGATTGTTATTATTATTCCAGAAGGTCATATTAAAGTTGTTAGCTGATTAGATTGTTTATTTGCAAGAACTTTATTTTCAGGTAATTACTTAAAAGACAGTATTCTAAAAAACAAATCATTCTCTCGTATAATATTATTCTTTAAGGTAATACAGAGCAAATAAACACAATTTATGAAAGTTTTTATGGTTAAGAAAAGTAAGATTGTAATTCCAGCTGATGATATTATTGTATTTTCAGGTGATGATATCAGCTGTAAGCTGATAAGATGCCTGATTCCAGCCAAGGAGTTCCCAGACAGGGCTGTGATGGTGTCTATTTCCTACATTTGTTCCAACATCCCATCCAGCAAAATCCAGGTAGGTGGATCCAAGTTGTGAAATATTTGAAACAAAAATTTAAACCAAATTTTTAAAAAAAATTTATGCCATGAGAAAATCTGTGTCTTGTCTTTTGATCTATGGATATGAACAGGATTTACTGATGTGGAATTAGATTTAAGTGCTATTTCGAGCCATGCTTCTTAGGTTTGAAGACTTTTAATATTACGGTGCTGCATATCCTTGGTCAGAATTTTTGTTGACTTAGATTATAACATTTGTCTTGGGTCTTGCTTATGAGACAGTTAATCTCTGTGTTGTATAATTCTGATCAGGTCCCAGGGTCATATCTAACTATGATGAGCTCACTTTTGATCCCAGTCTCACCTTTTCATTTCGTATTACTTTCCTAAAAGTAAGAACTAATGTCAAGAGTGAGCTTGTTTGTTTTTTTGTCTTCTTGATTTTTGTTGATGATATTACATCTATTTCAGGCCATGCTTTTGAGACTGCTGATTGCAGTATATGACTACATCGACAAAAAAGAGACACTTCAGAAGCTGGGATACCTACTTTTCTGTTTTATTGAAAACTCCATCTTGGTAGGTACATGTACCATGTTGTTTAAAAAAATGAAATTCAAGGACAATTTGAGCCCATTTCTGATGTTGAAGCCCATTTGTGATGTTGATGTATTTTTGCATTATCTTCTTGGAAAAAAATTAGAGATTAACAATTATTTTTACACATAGATTTTTCACCAAGTTTTATTAATTATGGAAATTGATTAACTTGATAAACATTTGGGGTTAACATTACATGACTTTTGTAGACGCCCTATATCTGCCATCTGCTTTACCTGTTAACCAGGAAGGAAGATGTTCGATTGTTCAGAGTTAGAAAGCTGCTAGATCTACAAACCAAACTGGTATTATCAAACTCTTTGATTTTACTCATACAGCAAAACTCGGTTATAACGAAGTCGCTGGGACCTTTGAAATTACTTCGCTATATCCGTAATTCGTTATAACCGTATAAGAAATTCATTAAATTTATATAACTGGGGATTCAAAATGACTTCGCAATATCCGTGAATTCGCAATATCCGTGTTCGTACTAAACGAGTTTTACTGTATACTGTAACAAGATTTTAAAAATTACATGAACTGTGTTCATTACATTTTGGATTTTTAGAAGAGAATGGGAAAAAATTCAGTTTAACAAAGGAAAAAAATTTATGCCTTCAGATTTAAATGGCTCCAGATATGTTGTTTAGCACCTTCAATATCTTTGTTTTATTTCCTATTTTGACAGGGCCCCCAGTCGTACCTCATTGGACTGTTGTCGATTTACAAATTGTACTTTCCAAACCTGGTGTCCATTGTAATTCCGAGTACCAAAAAGGTAGACTACTGGAAATCCTCAACTCTTGTAAAGTTAGACCAGCGAAAATTATTCATTCCAGTTAATGATTGATATTCTTTAGTAGTTGGTTAAATAAGGAATAATTTTGATATAAATTGAACTTCAAAATTTCTGTTTTGTCTAAATGTGTAAATCTCTTTTAGTTATGGAATTTAAATATGTGCGACTATGGTCAATATTAAGCTTTCAGTGGACTGAATTAGAACATTATATTTAAAAACAATTGCTTGGTTTCAATTCTAGTGAATAAGAATAAAGAAATGATACAGGATTAAAGGGGAGGTCAGTCTAGTTAATTGTTTTGTTGCAGCACTTTTTCCCCACCAGGGACAGACAGTGGTGTTCTATTATAAGGGAAGTCCAGGAAGGGAACCAGAATATAGAGACGTCCCACCTTAAGCTGTCGCTGGAGTTGTCAGAGAAACTTAGAGCCGCCGAAACCACAATGCTGCAGGGGATTCCAGTAAGTGGCTCAGAATTTACTATTCTATTGATCAATGAAAACATTTTAATCATTTAACAGATTAATAAGAGTTGTGGCTCTTGGAATTACAAAAACATTTGTGTTTATTGTTGAATATTTACATTTCCAATCAATTTCCCCTATGATTCTTTACAAAAAAAATGCAGAATTTTTTCTCATGAACTACATTAGGTATGCATCACGAACAAGCATGAATATCTACATTGTTACGTCATAATACCGCTCTCGACATCAAAAAGTCAAAAATATAGTGCACACTGTTTTGTTTTAAAAATGACAATTGAACGGCGTAAATTTATGGAAAGTCATCAGAAATATAATTTAAATATAAGAAATGAATTTAATTTTTTGAAGATTCATGAGGTATATTAACTACAACGCTTCACGCCGGCATATTTATCATGAAGCGCAAATGCGCTTCATGAAATATGCCGGCGTGAAGCGTTGTAGTTCATAACCTCATGAATGTTCAAAAAATTAGATTCATTTCTTAATAGAACAAATATTTGAAAAGTTGGAATACTTCAATAGCCACAATGATGAAAAGTTTAAAAACTTTGCATTTAAATTTAGTGAACAGAATAGATATCCCAACCCTCCTTCTTAATTAATAACTACTGTGTACTCTGATTTTGACTTGTATTACTAGCCTGATTTTGACTTGTATTACTAGCCTGATTTTGACTTGTATTACATGTACTAGCCTGATTTTGACTTGTATTACTAGCCTGATTTTGACTTGTATTACAGTCCCTGAAACGTTCTACTTTCCCATTTTTCCGTTCGTTCAGCGTGCGTTCACCGTTCGCTCTTCATTCACAGTATTGCGTTCACCGTTCACCTTGCGCTCGCGTTCACCGTTCACAAAACGTTCACCGTTCGCTCTTCGTTCCGTTTACTTTGCGTTCACCTTGCGTTCACCGTTCACTTATCGTTCAGTCTTTACTGTCATTCGGAACTCCGAAGTGAAAGGACTTATCTTTTTGATGGTAAGGATTTACATGTTTTTTAATTAAATAACTTAGATATCGTATTTGAAGAATAATTATTTCATTGCAAAAATTATCTAAGATATTTATATTTGTATTATTATAACTCGGCTTTTACTTATTTCATGAATTTTCCCTGGAAAAATAATAATTAATACATTAAGTACCTACATGTATGTAGCACGATGATAAAATATTAACTTTAAAAAAGGGCAATGTACCAATGTTTCACGCACGGCATCAATTTGGTGTAATTTTAAAGAAAACAATTTATAAATGGATGTATAATAATTAATCCAAGTCTTTTACAGAACAAGAATACAAAAAAAAAATATTTCTACAGTAACACGTATTTAAACTACATGTAGGTTTGAGAATTATGAACAGTACTGCAAATATTCAGTTAATTAAATATCTTTAGAGATAATTAAATTGATGGTGTGGTTTTAAATTTTAGAAAAGACCAACTGTTTTAAATAGTGTATTATTAGAGAAAGAAAATTCCTTCCTTCACCGTACCTAAACATATTTTTAAAAATATGTTTTTTGCCATTCAGTATAATTAAGACCCCCCCCCCCCCCCCCCCCTGGTGCCTTTTTTTCCGAAATTAAATTCTTATTGAGTTTTTACAGTATAATTTAATTTATATTTAATTTTTATTGTAACACAAGAAAATCAGTCTTAAAACCAACGTCAAACAGTCATTAAACAATAGTGTTTTAGTATAAATTTGTGCCGACAGAAGTATTCTAGATTGGCAGGGAATATGTTTCACATTCAATTTAAAACTTAATCCTTCCAAGTATATATTCGAATTATTTTTTTTCTGCAGGAATGCAAAAATCAGATCTAGAAGTGATAGGGAAAAATATTTAAATTTCTTGGAATACTAAGTGACTCTTTGCCTTCGGCATGTTCGGTGAAATGCGATTTCCACATCCCCACTGTGTCGAATTATTTTGATTGACAGCACAAGCACGCTACTACAAATGTAGCACGGACTTCCTGTGAGCTGTGTGAACTTGAAGATGGAAAATAAAAGCCAATGATTACTGTCAAATGGATTTGTTAATCTAAAAGAAAAAGATTACTTTTATTGCTTGGAATATTTAGGAAAAATAATAAGAATTTTTATTTGATACAATATATATCTGAGAATCGAGGGGGTTATCTCTCTCTCTCTCTTTCTCTCTCTCGTACATTTCTCTGTTCAATAAAAATTATGACAACACATTACTTATTTAGTTTTGAAAATTTAATCTACGCATGTATTACAAATAATTTGAATGCCTCTTTCCAACATCTTGACCGAGTATAATCACGGCCGGGAAATGTCTACAGATACATGAAGAAGTTAGCTAAAATAATCGTCATAAAAGAATATAAAGGCACATACATATAGAATATTTTGCAGTAGAATTTAAATAAAACGAGAATTTTTATGCAATACGATAACAGTCAATGTCAACAGATAATTGTAAATTTTTTAAAAAAATCCGTTATTTTACTCAGAATCGCTGTGGCACAGAAATACATGTACGGTTGTTTCAACCCCGTACATTGTAATTAATTCATTCTATAAGTAGTAGTTTTATCTTCAGAAGTCCACATTATTTTATTAGTGAAAAGAATAAGCATAATTATTTACTATATTAGTAGATTAATTTAATTTTTAACTACACGCGGTAACAAATACACGTTTGACGGCGATTAAATTCATGTTATTAAAATATCGATTTCAACATAGGTATGTGCAGAAAAAACGTTTTTATTTATTTATTGATTAATCAATTAATTTATTAATTAATTAATTAATTTATTTATTTATCTATTGTTTATCTCAGTAGTAGTTTCATCTTCTAAATGCCACGTTATTTTATTAGTTAAAAGAATTAGTATAATTATTTACTATATAAAATTAATTTATTTTTTAACTACACACTGTAACAAATACACGTTTGACGGCGATTAAAATCATGTTATTAAAATATCGATTTAAACATACGTATGTGCAGAATTTTATTTTTATTATTTATTTATTTATTTATTTATTTATTTATCTATCTATTTATTTCTCTTTTGTTTTTCTTTTGTTTTATTTAATATTTATTGATGACATTTGAATTATAGAATAAAAGAATAATTTCAATGCAAGGAAAAGACCAAAGGCATTCCGAATAAATCGTTCATCTTGCGTTCACCGTTCACTTTGCACTCGCGTTCGCGCTCCTTTCACAATCCGTTCGCGTACTGCGTTCACTCACCGTTCACTGTTCACACATCGTTCACCAAGTTGCGTTCACCGTTCCCACATCGTTCACTCACCGTCCGCTCTGCGTTCGTTCACCGTTCGTTCACCGTTCAGGTGGGAAAGTAGAACGTTTCAGGGACTGTACTAGCCTGATTTTGACTTTCTATTTTTAGCCTGCCAAGAGGAGGAAGATGGAGCCTATCCCAGTGGTCCACTCCAGCCGGTCTAACCTGACGGTGAAGATGTCCAGCCGCCTGATTGCCATGCTGGAGGAAAAACCTATTCCTTTTGTACAGATACCCGATATAGACACACTACTGAGGAACCCAGATAAAGTAGAGGTATGATAAACTGTATAAACATTGAAGAGGTCATTTGATTAGTGTGTACTTATTTTATATTTAGGTGTACAAAATTTTGCAAAAAATTAGATCATAGAAACAAAAATCTCAAAAATTGAACTCTGCAATCTGAATTGAATCTGCAAACAGATTATCCAAACTCCCTTATTACCCTATGCAACTTAAAATACAGCTGAACTTTGGTATCTCAAGCACTGATATCTTGAATGCCGTGGATATATTGGAGTCAAAAGTCAACTACTGATACCTGGAATATTTTACTCTGAATATCAAGAATACTCTTATTTCGAAGTTTTTTTCTCGGTCCCTTTGAGATCAGGATAATATGCTTTGATTGTATGTTCACGGTTAGAATAGTAGAACAAAGGTAAGTCTTAGTGTCTAAATAGAATCAGAAATTGTTGTAATTTCAGTTACCGAGCCAGATGGGTGTGGCATTGAGGAGTCGGAAACTTCAGTGTTTTATGATATAATATTGTAATTTCAGTTACCGAGCCAGATGGGTGCAGCTTTGAGGAGTCCGTTACTCCAGTGTTTTATGTCGTACAGTGCTGACCCGTTGATGACCTGCCGATTTTCTTACTGGCTCCAGGACACTCTCTGTGATGGTAGGCATCATACTCACAGAATGTAACATGACTCTTCTAGCAAATAAATTTCAAATGCAAAATGAGTCTGTGCATTTAAGAGAGAATCAAATATGACTCCCATCAAATTAAATCTACATAATATAGTGATCATTTTTGAGGAGATGTTTGAAAACTGAATTTTTTGTCTTTGTAGAACTCCTGGATAGTACAGTTACCCCCTCTTGTTTCCCGAGAATCGAGTCCATACTGGAGAAACTCATACAGTTCACAGAGTTCATTCAGGTTTTTCCATTTGTCTGCCTTTTGGGTTTAAAAATAAAGACGTAAACTGAAAACATTTTGAGATAATCCTGTAACATTTTACTGTCGTGTGTTTGTTTTACAGGAAGGCATACCGGCGGTGGATCAGATTTTATTCCGTTATCTTCAGGTCTGGAATGGAATGGACTTCAGACAACACATGTTCAGACTCATTACCAGATGTAGACTCTACCCGTTCTCATGTAAATTAACTTTGTTTGTGTGTGTGTATGTATGTTAATTTGTTTGTTTTAATTATTATCATACCTAAAGCATTACATTTTACAATACACATTCTTTAATAATCTAAGAAAATAAACATACTTTTTGTATATATCTCTGCTAAGAATTAACATTTCAACAAAAAATAAAAGTTATCTCATTGAAGGATGATATATCATAGAACTATTTATGGTATTTATTTTAGTGTTAAATGAGAACGTTTTGGACCCATTGAGGAAACTGTACGTCAGAACTTCTGTTTTTATTAAGGTATGTTAACACTTTCATTATTAGTATCATAAGTGGCACGTGTGGCACAGAGCCACAGAGTATGGAGTTGATTCCTATGTTGCGGGTTCCAATCCCACTATCAAACGTGAAGAACGGTCCTTTGGGTGTGATCATATAAACCGAGGTCCGTTTTCTCAGTAGTAGCTGCTGCAAAAAAGATCCCTCACTGCAAAATGGCCGTAAGTGCAGAGTAATGGGGGAGTATATGTCAAAATTTGCAGCTTTCCACGGGTAAATGGTGGTGTCTCCGTATGAGTGAAAAATTCTTGCTAGGGATGTTAAACAAACAAGTTTCATAAACAGAGCTCCAGATAAGGTGCAAATTTGCAGAAATATGCATTGAAATTTTCAAAATATGCATATTAAAGCAGAGCGTACAGGTACGCTTTAGTATTCGCAGATAAGCATTACACCACGAAAGTACTGCGTACAATTGGTTGAATAATACAAGACTTAGCTAATGATATGAACTGAGGTGAACTCAGTGTTTGATTTTTCTCAAAATGAAATATGAAAAATTTCATAATTTGTGTCCGGTCCATATCTTTTTTACAGATAAATTTGGTAGGATCTTATTTCACACAAAGATAGCCCACGACAATAGGGTGTGTCATGACCTTGACCCAAGGTCATTTGGGGAAGTTCAAGGTCATTGGAAGTAAAATTCATAATTTGTGTCCGGTCCATATCTTTCTTATGGATAAACTTAGTAGGTTCTCATTCCACACAAAGATTGCCCATGACCCAAGAGTTTGTCATGACCTTGACCCAAGGTCATTTGGGGAAGTTCAAGGTCACTTGAAGAAAAATTTCATAAAATCGTGTCTGGTCAATATCTTTCTTATGGATAAACTTGGTAGGTTCCCATTTCACACAAAGATTGCCCATGACCCAAGGGTGTGTCATGACCTTGACCCAAGGTCATTTGGGGAAGTTCAAGGTCACTGGAAGAAAAATTTCATAATGCATGTGTGATACATATCTTTATTATGGAAAAACTTACTTCTGAAAAACGCAACGGGGGGTATTTTGTCCCGTTTGGACAGTTCTAGTTTGAAACTCCCCCTCCCCCCTCCACTTTGAAAAATTTGCTACAGGCCTGTAACAAGCTTTTCAGTTTGCTGTAGTTCATATGTTGTGTGTAAAAGGATTATCAAAAAGTAAGTGGACTAGCGCCATAAAATGAAAACTGCTTTAGGTACATCAATGATTTTTTAAAATATTTAGTTAGCATCATCTTTTCTACTTATAGAATAAATTACAAATCAAAAGTTCTATTTTTTATCAAATCAGAAATTTTTTTGTCCAGGCTGCGCAACCCAAACATGATGTCATTATTTTTTTTCAACTTGAGTTGAACAGAAAAACTCTTTTGATCTTGTTGATATGAGCATTTGTCTTCTAAAAATCATGTTAATTCTGTCATGTGATGGAACACATTTCTTCCGTTAAATGTTCATTTTTTACTTCATCCTGTATCATGATTCATAAAATTTTATTTTACTTTCATATGGAAGGAGGAGGAGTTTCTTTTTACAACATTCTATAAAGTTTAGTCCCTGAAAAAAAATGCTATAGACCTAGGAAATGTTTTAACTGAATACACAGAAATGAAATGCATACAGAGTACTTGCTTTTTAATGCCAAAAGATTCAGAGATATGAGAGATGCACAGATTTTAGTCAAGGTGTTGATTAAAAGTCAATCACGTCAAACTGTGACATTAATCGTGTTGTAGACATTAAACTCTAAGAACCAAAATATGCTGGCATAATCAAACGAAGATCTTTCTGTATGTACAAATCCATTTGCAATATTATATGCATTGAGAGCAGCCGTTAATGACAATGTAAATATTAGACTTTACAGTCCTTAAATAAACAGGACAGATTCAAGTTCTTACTCAACTCCAAGGAATCTCATAAGGATAAGTGTATGAGGTAGAGGTAGTAACATTGGAAAACATTGATGTTGTCGGACGTTGTGAAACTTATTGGCTACAGTGCCAGGTGATCATATAATGTCGTTTTTACATAATAATAAAATGGCAAATATATCAAGATGAAATTTTTAATACTTCTTAAACTTTTATTGTTTTATATTCCTTAAGATTTTGTAATCAACGACTACATAGTATTAATTTTATTGCATCAGTCCACAATTTTTTCTGATAACCCCTTGTACTCCATTTAAGTAAAAAAAAAATTATATGTAGTATGAAGAATATGAATGTCTATATATTAAAACAAAATAAAAACTTCGTGATAAAGCCACTACATGCATGTATTACGTTTGTATATACTGTAGACATACTTTTTTCCACGGGGTCATAATTCCGCAGAATCTTTATTTCTGTTTAATTCGCAGATAGAAAATTATGCGGATTTCCTAGACTGTCACTATATGCCTTACATTTATATTAAGAATGCGTGGACAGTTTTCCGCGGAGAATTTGTGGCCGTGTGTGTACATAGTGTAAATTAATACCACGCGGAAAAAAGTACTTCAGCAGTATGTACATGCATTTTGTTTCCTAGAAGGTGTATTTTATCAAAACAAAAAAAGGAAATTAATCAATAGCCTTCATTATATGTCATTTTAGGATGTTTATGACTCTTTTTAGTTGATTATCTACAGCTTGAGTATCTCTGATGTTTTTTCATTATATACTTCTTTATTATAATTACCATAAATAAGTCATTGACACCAAAAAATATAGGTTTTGCATGAATGAAAGCATTTGAAAGGTTTTTATGTGTTAGAGTGAAAATCAATTTTTAGGTCAAGTACACAGCATTCAGGTTTTGGTCAAATGTCGTTCAATTTAGGTAAATAAAAGAGTTGGATTTTTGAATGTGGGTGATATGAATGGATAAAAAAAAAACTCGGACAAGTCTCTCTGAGTCAGTGTCACACTTAGTCTTTATCATGAATTTATAATTATTATTAGGCCATAACAAAAATATTCCTAAATTCTCATCCCCGCTTGCCCCTAATTTTTTTCCCCCGCCTCAATTTTTAGGTCACCGCGTCACTCAGGTGACCTATTGCTATCCCTTTTCGTCCGTTGTGCGTCGTGTGTTAACATTTAAACATTTTCAGCTTCTTCTCTGAAACCACTAAAGCAATTTCAACCAAATTTGGTATACAGCATCCATGGGTGAGGAGGAACATAAATTGTGAATTTCATGGTCCCTGCCCCCCTTGGGCCTGAGGGGCCAAAACCACTAAAATTAATGAAATCTTTAAAAATCTCTTCTTTACTCCTGGACATCAAGCAGGCAAACTGTTAGCATGAATGTAATGAGCATTGAGTCTTCTACCAAAATTGTGAAATTCATGGCCCCAGGGTCAGGGGTTCTAGTCTTAGGGTGCGGCTATATAGATTATATAGTGAAAATGCATTATTTCTTTGAAAATCTTCTTCTCTGCTCCTGGGTTTTAAATGAACTAACTAAGTACATAGTTATGATGAGCAAAAGTGCCTCTTCCAAAGTTGTGAATTTTATGGCCTCAGGGTCAGAGTTCTGGTGTTAGGGCAGGGCTCTATTGATTATATAGTGAAAATGCATTAACTCTTTGAAATCTTCTCTGCTTCTGGGTATTAAATAAACTAACTACCGTAAATCTGGAAATTTTTACTGTAGATAAATTTTTAGCAAATTTGCGCGTACATTGCATTCGCAAAAATATTTTTCTTAAAAATAAATCAACATGTGAAGAATTTTTTTCTGAGAACGCGTGTCGTTTTTTAACTCAGTGAATAGGCGTCGGTAAGCACTGGTTATTTTTAAAAGAAACCTGTTTACACTAGTCTACTATATAACTACAAGTTAATTACCCGTGCGTGTAAATTGCCCTCATTATATGCAATATCGTCCAATTATTTGACAAGCACTGAGGCGGTAAGTCCCTTTTTAATTATTTTCATCAATTAATTTGCCAATAAAGAGAGAACTGTCATTTTATCTAACTGTGTATCAACACGGGCGATAACTCAAACTCAGTGCATTTACTAGGGAGTTCCAAATGTAAACGCGGCGTGTAAATTTTAGGTGAGAAAAAAAACCAAACGTTGAGAAAATTAGTTATATTTTTTCTTCATTTGCATTATAATTTAGGTTAAAAGGCATACACAACCTTTAAAATGTTTGTTATAATTGATTAAGAAATTATTTTCAGTGCAAATCCCGGAGCGATTTTGCAATTTCTTTCCGCGTTGCGAGTATATTGGTGGTATTCAAACTGGGCATATTATTTGAAAAATAACCTGATATGAAAATCTTCAGTGATTTTTACTTTTAGCACCAGTGACAATTCGTAAAAATTTGAAGCGTAAAAATTAATCCACAGCTTTTTGACCCAAACTCCCAAAAATAAATCGACGTAAAAATTTCCAGATTTACGGTATGCACATAGTTATGATGAGCAAGAATGTCTCTTCCAAAATTGTGAATTTTATGGCCCCAGGGTCAGGGGTTCTGGTGTAAGGGCGGGGCTCTATTGACTATATAGTGAAAATGCATTAATTCTTTAAAAATATTCTTCTGTGCTCCTGGGTATTAATTAAACTAAGTACATAGTTATGATGAGCAAGGGTGCCTCATCCAAAATTGTGAAATTTATGGCCCCTTGGGATCAGGGGTTCTGGTGTTAGGGTTAGGGCGGGGCTATATTGATTATATAGTGAAAATGCATTATTTTTTTCAAAATCGTCTTCTCTGCTCCTTGGTATTAAATTAACTAACTTAGTATAAAGTTATAATGCCTAAACCAAATTGGTGAATTTCATAGTCCCTGTGTCGGGGGGGGGGGGGTCTCTTTTGTTTATATAGTGAAAATACATTAATTCTTTGACAATCTTTTCCTTTGCTCCTGGGTGTTATGCTAATGATCCAAGTATATTTATTTAGGATGAAGAAAGGTGCATCTAGCAAAATGGTTAATTTCATATCCCTGGGTCAAGTATGGGGGAGGGTTACATAGTCTGAAAATAAATGCTTTGAAATCTGCTCCTAGGTATTAATCAACCATTTATGATTAAGTAAAATTAGGATAAAATTTCCAAAATTTGGAAATATGTAGCTCCAGGGTCAGTGGTTCCTTTGGGGTGTGGTGCACAACTGGTTACATAGTGGAAGTGCATTTTCTCTTTTTTACTCTGATCTATCTCTAGGTATTAAGTAAATAGAGTAAGCATGCTAAGTTTATAATTATGATAAGCAATGGTGCCTCTTTCAGAATTGTGAATTTCATGGCCTCTGGTTTAAAACAGAACCAAATTCGATTGTTGGAAAGTTGTTACATGATACTCGGGTGACCTATAAGGCCCGTGGGCCTCTTGTTTAAATTTCTGTTTTTCTTTATCTTAATTTTGATCGAGTTCGGTATTCAACTACCATTCAACTTTAAGATGGTAATTGCTGTAATACATGTATATATTAAACAAGGGTCATTGGTTGTGATAGATTGGTGATGATAAGAAGTAAGAGAAAATGGACCTTTACTATGACTTTTATTTTGGTATTAGATAAATCTGCACTGATTGACCAGGTCAATAAAAAATCTGCGAAATGGAGAAAAAATATATAATAAAAGCCAACCCGCCTGCCTTGAATTTTCAAAAAATTTGGATGAGAATCTAGGATTTTTTTTTATTATGGCCTTACATAAACTTTGTTTTAATGATTACTTTATGTCTGAGTATAATTTTTATACAGTGCCAGATAACTATGTGTTTGACACAGCTGCTGCGTAATTACGTAGTGGTGGAAATACACAGATACAATCAGAAATATCCCGATTCAAAGCCTAGGTGAGCAGTGCAGTTCTATTCAGTACATTTTAAACGCTGATAATATCATTGAAGTCTTTTTATGTGAAGGTTCAGTCAATTTTGCTGAGACTAGAATTATTTAAATTGTTATTTTATGTAAGCAACACATTTTCTTTAAGACAAATGCAAAAATTCCTTAAAATGATAGTAAAATTCATCATGTTTATTGGAGATGAAAGTTGTATTATCATATTCTTGTTTGTATTGATTTTATTTGGACAGCGTGTCCATCTTTGAAGATGACATAGGACCATTTGAGCCACTGTCCACAGTTCAGGGACTTATTCAGTTTGTAGACAGACTTAACTGTGCCGGCCTGACACTGGAAAACAACCATAATCTTCTGCTTCATTTCACCCTCACCTTCAGCGAAATGGTATGTCTGTCTGTCTATCTGTGGCAATTAGGGACTTGTAATTGGTTTACACACATCATAATTTAATCTGATTTCTAGCTCCCCTGAGTTGCAACCTCGACCATTATTCCGATCATCTGTTGTCCATCATATGCCTATATCCTTAGTTGTCAATCTGTCTGTAAATTTCTAATGTTTTGAACATGTAAAAAAAAATTAAATTAAAGTAAAAAAAAAGGGGGGGGGCTCCCATTCTAACAACACGGCTCGAAGAAATGAAACTTATGTGTTGAAATCAAAGCACCTGGGGTAAGGTCTTGCCTCAAAGTAATCAAACTTATCATTGAATTTACATATAATGGGAAAAAATTTCCTCAAGAGCAGCTAAAACTTGGAAGGATATGAGGTTTTGTAGATTGAAAATTTTTCAAATCCTACCCCGGGTCATTGGGTCCAGACATAATAGGGAAACTATTTATTTATTCAATTAGAGGAATATAACATAGGGTTACTCAGGTGAGTGATGTAGCCTCTTAGCTTCTTATTATATTATGATATCAATTGTTGCAATACTGTGATATTGTTTTGATATTTTACCAGGTATCCACATTGTATACCCGCTATGATCTACCATGTGTATATTTGCCTAGCCGGCACATTATCAGAGCCTTTCTGACTGACAATGCAATGGGACCCGCTAGACTATGTGGCATTATTAATAGGTAAAACAAATATTGTCGTAAACCATTAAGAAACTCTGTGGCTTGGTTGAAGAACAAATGAGTCCATAGTGGAACGTGTTGTCCATCCATATTTTATTCAAATGTGTAGCTCTTACAGATCCCCCCTTCCATTTCACAGTGATTGGGATAAGCTAGGGAGTAAATGTGACAATGGCGCACTCCAAATCAGTGTAAATGGGACATTTCAAAATTCAATGCGCCAAACAGAATTTTTAATGGGACATTTCCTAGTTTCAAACTTGCAATTGATAAGTTGCTGTTAGAATTTCAGTTGACTTTACTTAATTGAAATTGTCAAATTATTGAATGACGATATTAAAAGATACAAAATTAGTTATATTTAAATTCACTAGTGTCAGAAAATAAATAAACACTGCAATTTAACTTCAATTCTTTATTTTTTGTCTCCGATGTTTGACATCTTTAAAATGATTTAAAGCCTGGTTAAGATCTATACTGCTTCCCTCCAATTCATGTTAAATGTTTTTCCTCCGAGACTACATCATCAGCCTTACCGTCAGATTCATCTCCATTCGTTCTGTCAGCATGTTATACTTCCGTCGAAGTTCCGAGTCATTTACTACGGATTTACTTGAATTCTGTTTGTTAGGATTGTTAAAATTGAGAAAAGTCTGCCCTTTACCAGTATGAGGTATTTTCTAAGGTGGCATGCTGCACTCCTGACACCATTTTATTTCGTGCGTGTTAGCCAATCAGAAAACACGTAACTGTTTCATTAGATACTAGGGAAAAGAAAGTCATGAGAACGCTGTAACTGAACGACATTAAATACTATTTTTTCAAGCGTAAATTGACAGCGATTGTTGTGGGAAAGTACAAGCGCTTGGGGGAAATCTCAAAGTTTAAAAGTATGTAGTGCATGATTATATATGTGCCACGATGGCGCAGCGTTTTTAATTTTAATGTGACATTTTAAAATTTAATGCGACTATGGCGCAGGGTGCGTGCTTATCCCAATCACTGATTTCAATGATTTTCTATTTACAAGTTCTTATGTTTTCAATTGTTATTGATATTTGCCTTGAAATTTGTTAACGGAAGCTATGAAGGGTATAAACTTATGGGAGGACTATCTTCTTGCCAGCCAATCAGAGAAAGGTATTCCAGAACCAGTCTTAGATGACTTCAACCTTGAACCTTGAACTTTGACATTGAAATTTTTGAGTAGATTATGATAAACTGATGTAGAAAGCCTATTCCTGACTATATGTTTTATAATATTATAACCTCACACAACAGAAAATAAGGATAAGTCGGGATATCTCTATGTTGACTGCTGACCTATAAGATAGTCTACTGACCTCAAAGATTGATTGCTGTTAGTTTGTTGAAGACCTTTTATGAGTACTACTGTCAATCTTTGTATACAGATGAATTGAGTTCAATTTTTTAATGTCGTGTTGAACTGTCACCTTTGAACGATATAACCATTGGGATATATATGAGGTATTTGTCTTACTCTTTGTTGATTAGTAGGGTTTAACAAGTACACACTCATATGGCAGGAAACAATGTGGCCAAGATGAGTCTTGTAGCTCATTGGCTTCCAGCTATTTACATAATTATGTACATGGATCTTTTTTTGTCTAAAATCTTCCATGATTTTAAGATACTGTACAGCAAGAGAAAAGAGATACATGTATTTTTCCTATTTTTGTAATCTTCAATGTATATACAAATCTTAACTCAAATAAAAAAGAAATGTTTACATAATTGTTCTGACCTTTCTGTCCAACAGATATAAGGAGAACTGCCAGAA